TAATCTCATTATCTCCCAAACAGCTCGGCACCAAGAGAAAGAGTGTGTGAGTGACAGAGCTGGAGTGTGTGTGCGCGAGTGTTCATAAGTGAGTGTGTTTGAGAGGGAGAGAAAAGAGAGAAAGGAGGGAGATAGAACAGGAGGGGGATATGGGTGTACAGATATGCACCCTCGCTTCCTCCCACCCCCAGGTGCTCTAATTGAGAGGAGGCTTTTGTTACATAAACAAGAGGTACACCTCAAGTTGAAAATTAAATATTTGGAGAGAAGGCGGCATGCTTTTGAAAGTGATATATATTCCAGTGGGTGTCAAAGGGGTGCGGATGAAGAGGTGGTTATTGGCATGGAGAGCCTGCTCTCTGCACCAGAGAGTCAATTCTCACCTCGCCTCTCCTTCACAACAATGAACACAACAGCCTCTAAAGCTCTATTTCTGTACTCTCCAATTGGATCACACTGCCGCTGATTGTTCTACATCTCAATAGGCTGTTAAAGTGGTAATCTGCAAATTCCTTGTTATTTTCCCTTTTTTACTTTGTCTCCATGTTTGGTGCTAAGCGCTCATTACTGCAGTTTTGCACTGCACATCCCAGAGATCAATCAGCATTGTCTGGTATTCCAATGCCTTTTTTCTCTTTGGATTTTGAAGTTCGAGTTTCTTTAAGTAGCATGCGCTTTTTGTGTCCTCTGCTGTGTTGCTATGGCTGCTCTCGCTAATTTGTGTTTCAGACGGAGCATAAAGTTGGAAGTTCTGACTTCTATGAGCTAGGAACAATGTAAAAGAGCAGCAAATCAGAGCTCAGAGTGCTGGAGGTCGGAAATATTTCAGAAATAAACTAAAGCAGTGAGATCATGTGCTTTTAGTGTCTTTATTCAACTAGAAATGAGACAAAAATATAACAACTCTGTTTAAACTCTTACCTGTTTGGGTATAATTTCTTTAATATAAACTGTATCTTGTTGATGTATTTCCTTTAGTGGTCAGTGAATAGAAAAGCATTCACGAGTTTAGATTTGTTTTTATTTTAGTAAGCTGTAAAACAGGAGCTTTTTTTTATTCCAGATAAAACACAATTTCCTTTTCAGGTTTAATTGAACAGCAATTAAAGGAATATTGCAAGAATTGAAAATTTTGACGCGCCTGACTATACACATCAAGCATGATGCAATTTTGCGACTTTTGGGGGAAAAAAAGACACGTCCCAGGTGGAAGCGAGAAGACTGACACAACACCAGACTGACTGTTTTTCAGTTCTGATTAGACTCTAGTGTTGAGATGTCTGTCTGTCATGATAGCATGTACTGAGTCGGGGCCAGTACCAGATAAGCACATTAAACTATAATCCATAAGCGTAAGGTAACAACTGAGACCTAATGGTGCTGTGACAGCAACGTGATTGAGTTTGAGACAATGAAAATACATATGGTATGTTGTATCTGAACAGGTTAGCTTACGAGCTAAAGTGACTTAGCACAGATGAAAGTTAAAACACAGACGTCTAGCGAACTGTTAAAGAACACAAACCATCGTCATATGAGAAATCCGACACTATGACTCTCCACAAGTTGTCCTTCAGGTCGTTATCTTTGTACTATTTGTGTTTTTTTATCAAAAATCACTCTGTTCTCCATCACGTAAACAATCAGCCGGTCAGCCATGTTGGATATACCAGTGAATCTGACGTTGCAACAACACGCAACCTGATTAGTCAGAAGTGGACACACAGTATGCTAAACTTTAGAAAAATCGATACGAAAAAATATATGCTGCAATATCGCAGGACGGGAAAACGTCACTGATGTGGATGCTTGTATTGACAGGATACGGGTTCGAAAAAAAATATTGACATCTGAAATAATTGCATGAAAAACAGGCTCCCGGTGTGTAAGGATTTTAAGTTTTACTGCGCCCATACTTCCATGCTAAGACTTTAATCATAATCAGGACACTCCTCTAAATATAACTTGTGAAAATGCTGAATTTCTGTATAAGGAAAAACAAGTGTTAGAAAGGATGGTTTCTCTTATATTAACAGATGCCACAGTTAATGAGCGATTCTTCAAGAAGGAGCATCTTTGGTACGAAACAACAGCATAACATTTCATCCAGCCGGCATTGATCAGCCACACATGAGAAGAGAAGTGTGTTTATGCACCAGTAGAACAGAATAATGCCACTTAACAATAGCAGCAGATACAGATGCTGCTATTTGAAAAGCTTGTTCAGCCTAGTAGAGGGTAAATGGGAGTCGCAGAGACCAGTGTGAATCGATAAAAGCCATCAAACACCTGAGGGGTCCCCCAATTTTCCCACAAACCACTCCACCCCCTGGGCAGGGGGGAAACAATGGCAGGGCATCAATACCAGCAATTGGGAGAAGGTGGATCAGGAGACAGCTAGAAAACCACACAAGTGGGTCACCTCTCCTCCAGACAGCAAATGGGTGCGCAATCGTTTGCATCAATTCAGTCCGGTGGGAGACAGAGGACAGGATAGGGATGGGGTGCCATTAGGAGTGTATTGGTCTAGAAGGTGGGCACCAGGAGGAAGACGGGGTGTGGAGGTTTTTAAAGCAGGTAGAGATGGAGACACAGGGGGATATAGGTGTTTTCAATTACCCACAAATTCACAGCAATTTCCTCCTCTTTCTGACCACACCTCCCACTGTGAGGCTGATGGGAGTCCTGAACAAAGAGGCGTGGAGATCGCAATTGTTTGACTGTGGGGTTGGTGGGGAGGAGCAGGAGGAGGTCGGTTTTCATCTGTCTGCCTTGTTCAACCTTTCTCTGTCACCTTGCAGCTTTTATCAGAGCCTCTTTCTTTCTTTTTCTTTTTTTTTCGCGAAGGGTAGGAACTTGAAAGTGCATTTCAACTTCTGTGTAGATGTTGATAAGGCACTTCCTGAGAGCAGGAGATACTCTTATGCTGCGTAAAGATAACAGACAAACCCAGACACACACACACACGCTCACACACAAACTCTCTGACACATTCCATTCAGCAGAAAAAAAAAAACACTCTCCTGCTTTGCAAAGTGGTTAAAATTACTCCATAGTGGTGCATGCTTCATCACACTGATCACTGTTGCATTCAGTTAAAACTTTTTATAGCTTGTGTCACAGTGTCAGAGCATCATCAAATTTGAGGGGGGAGAGAAACAAAGCAGCCATAAACCATAACACAGTAGGTTTAGGCTTTGACAGTGTTACAAAACTGTTTGAATGAGAAGAAAGTAACAGTTAAAGGGATATTGCGGCATATAATTTGGTTAGGGTTGAACACACCGTAACACCAAGTTAGACAACCCGTCGAGAGATGAATGTTGCCGACCGCTTGCTTCTCTAGTTATGCCATCTTTAGTAATGACCGCAAAATAGCATCACACAGCGGTCTGAGGAGCCACGCGCTCAACCAAAACAGCTCAAAATAATGCTCAGAACAGCACCTAACTTCATCAACAGTACATATAGGGTCCAAGCCATAGCACTAGCCATTAAACATCTTTTTAGCTTTGCCTGGTTTCATTAGCAAAGAGACTAAATGCAACTCACCCACTCTCTTCCAGCAGCTGCTTGTTTGTTGGGGGAGCCCGGACAAGTCGATCACCGAGTGCAGCGGAGTTCCGCAGCTCAAGGAAGAACATTTATAATCATTTCTTCATGGAAATGCAATCATACTGAAACACTAGGGCAGAAGAACTAGCGCGTCTGCAGTGCAAAATGATGATTATTACTTCAAGGAAATTATAAAGTAATGATCATAAATGTTCTTCCTTGAGCTGCGTCACCCCACAGCAGTCCGTAATGGACTCATCTGAGATCTCCATACAAACAAGTGGCTGCTGGAAGAGAGTAGGTGAGTTGTGTTTAGTCTCTTTGCTAAAGAAATCAGGCAACGCTAAAAAGATGTTTGGTGGCTAGTGCTGTGGCTTGGACCCTATATGTACTGTTGATGAAGTTAGGTGCTGATCTGAGCATTATTTGTGGCTATAGAGTGGCTAGTATAGTATTATACTGTTTGTTACCCTTGTATAGCTTGCTGTTGCTTTAAAACTTGCTGGCTGGCTTTTGAAACTGACAGAGTTGATCAGAGTTGCTCATTGGTGTTGTTTAGGTTATATTAAAAAGCAACTTGGATCAAAACCCCTTTCCTGACCCATGCTTGCTCACTCACTGATACTACATATATACATACATAGGAATCTGAACTTGCTGGTGGATGGCTCTTGTGTGTACTGCACCGGCTGACTATTTATTTAGAGCCAAGCAATGAGATCTATGAGGCTTGTTAGAGGATTATTGTTGGGTTAAGAGAGCTCATTAGCCAATAAGTGACTAATATGATGTGATTTAACTGGGAATACGGCTAACATTATATCTACCAAGTACCAGAATTTAAGAATTGGCATTGTGGGCAGATGAACATGATGTTATTTTGAATAAATGCAGGAGAGACTTATTTTGAGAGGGGGGGGGGGGGGTTGCTGCAGTGGGTAGAATGTGGGAGATAGAGAGAGAAGGGGGATGATATGCAGCACATGATTGGGACAGGATTTGAACCAGTAACCACAGCATTGACCACAGTCCCCAATATGAGGAGTGCCTTAATCCACTCGGCTATCTGCGCAGTGACTTTGAAGCTGACTAAGTGTATACTCTTATAGAGTATATACTTAAAAAGATATATGTAAGTATTCACTGACCAAGTAGACTTGAGTACACTGTATATTGATCAAAAGTTTATGTATAAGTCTAGGTTAAATATATTTAGATTTTTTGTATAATTCTCAGTACAAGTCAAGTATATTTAACATTAACTTTATTAAGTATATCTCTGAAAAGAGCCTAAAAAGTAAACTGAAAGCATACTTAGTTTAAACACAGTATACTTGAGTTACTCTTCAACATCTTTTTGGAAAGGGTAATTATAAAATGCCAACTGTGCATAAGCTAACAAAAATAAACAAGTGTTTGCATCTAATTGTGGGTAAAAATTGTGAAATTAGACTTGAAGTACAATTACAGGTTAATTTCTATTTTTCAGTTAAACTGATAAAAAGGGCTTTTTTTCAACATTGCATCACATCACACAATGTCCCAGTTTCATGTTATATCTGCTCATTTTCTCTTTCAACCATTTTCATCTTCACTGATTGTCATAATCTAACCACCTGTGGGTTGAGCACAGAGAAAGATATGATTGGTTACTCACCACGACACCTGCACTGTCCTCAACTGGGTCTCATTGCTGCCACACTCTGTGTCTCCTATGGTGAATACATCTCCTGATCCTATCTTTGTCCTGCCATCTTTGACTTATAAAAGACTGGGAATTATCAGGTCTTGGTCCATGTATTGATGACATTACCAGCCAAAAATTAGATAAAGTTGTTTTAATGAGTGAAATATCTGCCAGTGGACTAATAAAAAGGTGCTTGTCAAGTTTCCTAACAAAGAAGTTAAATTTCTCAGAATAAAAAAATCTTATAAGTAAATTTCTTCGTACACCATTGGCATGTTTTTTGACAAATTAAAGGCAATTCAGGTCTTAACTTTGGCTTGTCATTTCTTGAAAAAAGCTAATCAACTTTTCAACTCTTTTAAGACATTGGCAACTAAAATATCAATGCTGTAGACTCTGTTTTGTTGAGGGTAATGCGTAAAGGGGTCAAATTGCAACTGTAAGTAACAGCATGTTTCCTGTTAATCTTGCATCTTCCTCTCCAATGCAACTGTCTGCACATGAGAAACCTCTCTACAGGAGACAGGAAGTTTCCTGTGCTTGCACATGTTGCCACATGAACATATGAGAGGCCTGATAGGAGCCGGTATCAACCATGTCACTTCCTCTTGCTCTGCAGTGAGGAACAACCATGCAACACATTCCCTGCCATATATATATCTGAAATCATGTGTGTGTGTGTGTGTGTGTGTGTGTGTGTGTGTGTGTGTGTGTGTGTGTGTGTGTGTGTGCTTTTTCTGGATGGTTAGCCTTATCTTCCCTTCCATGCACATTCACGATGTATGCTGCACCAGATGGCCAGAGAACACAGAGCTGCTAATGGCACCACTTGATCATGTCTTTGCTTTGCAATAAATCAGTATATTAACAACGTACATAAATGCCATATACAGAGCATTTGATTGATCCCCATGTGACGCATAAAGACGTTTCATAAAGGAGCAGAAACACTTAAAGGACAATGTAGATTTAGCCATGCGTGCCTGAGTGTTAGTCCACAGAAGAGATCTCACGGGCATCATCTGCAATTTGAATACATTTACTTGAATGTAATTAGAATGGCTTTACATGTTTGCATTTACATACATTTTCACTTTACAGAGGTGCAATTAGTGATGAACATGTGGAAGAATTAATAGCCCTGAATAAATGACTGTATGCTGAAACGGCTTTTATTATTAGTTTATTGGGAACAAGTAGTTATGAGTTTAAATCCATAGGAGAGCTGTAAAGTTGCATGTCAGCCCCACGTATAATCAGACTCACCAGGACAGAGGTGGTGTGTTTCTAACGGTACATTACTGCTCCCATGTGGTGAAAAAGAAGACTGACTGCACTTCTGAGGCGTGACTTCAACCAAAACAAGAAGAGGAACATACTTTCACCACAAATATGCACACACAACTTATATTGTTTGTTTGTTTTTATTCTATATTTTAAGATACTTATTTAAGATTTTTGCCTTACATAATTTTGAATAAACTGAATGGGATTTTTTGTGGTATGCACAAAATTGTAAAATAACGGTTTCTTTAAAAAATATATAAGGCATAGCAACTTTTCCCTAGGATCACAGTTCTTCTTCAGCTATTACCAGTCCAAATGACAAGCATGTTTTCTATTAGATCCACATTTTACATTGAACTTTGGCTCATAGCTCAACTGTTTTATTTTATGTGTTTTTTTTTTTTTACTTTGCAGTGATTTCCACAATAACCTCGTCTGTTTTTAATACAAAGCCACCTGAGGGTCAGAAATAACAGCTATCCAGATTTCAGTTCCTTAAATAACTGAAAAAAATGACTGAACTCTTTCACGATATTCTAATTTTTTTAGATGCACCTGTTTGCTGACCGAAGGGATACAAGACATCATCTATAAACTGAACAGTTGCATGTTGTATAAGGAGAGAATGGGCATTACTCAGCTGAAAAGAAAGGGAAAATATATATTATGACTGATGAAAAAGCTTTAAATATGTGTTCAGTAGACATTATTATAGACTTTGCAAGAATATATGATCAAGATGTAAGAGCTGCTTTATTTGCCTTAAAGTGAGAAATTGGGTTGGTGAAAGTAAGGGTTAAAAATGGGCTCTTATCGATGCATTTAAGAGGACAAAATTCACGCATTGTACTTTTCTGTATCAGTACATTTAGATCGTTCGTCTCCATTATTACTGAGAGTGAAATCCTCTAATATTTTATTCATTTGATATTAAATTGTCTATGTTTTCTCTTGTTACACTGCTGCAGGCCCTCTGTGTTACTCATTTAGTCTTGCCGTCATCTGTGTCGGCATGAGGATTTCTGTTAGGGCAGCCATGAGTGTGCATGTGAAGTTGGAGATCAGTTTGCAACAAGGGCTCTATATATAGCTTGGAAGGGGAGTGGGTGACCCAGTCTGACTACAACTCACTCTCCCTCGGACCCTGACTCTCTTTCACCTGTCTACTGTTTATTTTTTCTGTTTTTGTTTTCAGTTTCTGTTTGAAGAGGATGTGAGGTGTAAGTACTTAATCCCCAGTATGTTCATTTCTTTCTTTGTTTCCTACACAGTGACTTTTATTTGTTTTGTACATCTCAGCTCCCTCATGACAACCTGATAGGGCTCAGAGAGAATGGCTTTGCCCCTTGGAAATGGAGCTTTCATCTGTGATCTATGAGACTACAGTGCTGTGATAAGTAAAGTTGGAGTCAGGGATGACCATGTGCCAGTTGGAGGAGCCAGAGGCCAGACTAGGCCTGAACAGTCCTGACCTGCTGGTTAAAGAAGCTTTCCTGATGGCCCATGACTACATAGACTATGTAACCACTGGGGGGGCAGATGGCACCTCGGGTCCTGCCCCCACAGCCTGCACCGCAGCCCTTCGCCACGCTGGGGACGAACTCCTCGCCCGCTTTCCCATCTTCTTCAGGCGTTGGCCTCGTATCTTCCAGGACGTGACGGAAGACTCGGCCTGCCCCATGCTCACCAGCATCCTGGACGAGCACTTCTTTCCTCAGGCTCCAGGGGGGCGTCGCAGGGAACTGGCCTGGAGTGCGGTGCTGTCTGTGTATGTATTGGCTGGACAGATGGCGCTGCATTGCCATGAGAAGGGCATGGTAGGGGTCCTGCCTCAACTGAAGGAGTGTGTGGGGGCCTATGTGGAGAGGGTCATCTGCCCTGACATAAGAGAGAAGGGAGGATGGGTGAGTGTTCACTGATGAAATCTACATCTACAGAGGGACTTAAATAAGCTGATTCTACATTAAATACATACACTGCTGTACTTTATAAAGCAACAAAGTCAAACCCCTGCAACCGTATTCAAGGGGGTTAATAACGGGGAAATTGACCGCAGTGATTAAATATTTAGTGATGCTGGGCTCCATTATTAGTGGATTAAATGGCTGCAATAGGGCTTCTGCCATTTTAGTAAATACTATTTATCACGATGCACTTCCCAGCTAGATTTTCTGTATTGTTGTAGGCCAATTTTACCTCATGTTTTGTTACTGCAGATCCTAAAACTGCAATTTGAAGACCACAGTTCTGGGACTACATTTCTCAGATCATTGTTGTTATGATAGTTAGGGTTTAGGTAAGGCTGGGAGTTGTATGTAGACTCTAAAATTGGTTACATTTCACCTTTACAGTGCAGTCCTACATGCTCAAATGCAAGAAGTGATGCTGTAAACAACACTAACTGTCAACTTACTGTTGCTAAAGCTGCTACAATGATCTGTGTATTGTCTTTATCAATAATTTAATAGGTTTTGAACATTAATTTCAAGTAGATTAGAGTTCACACAGCAATGATTGTAAAATGTAGCTCTTGTAGCGGCAAAATCATTTCAGTGTAACTGTAAAATTCAGGTTTCTTAAGACTTACAACTGTACAAGTGTAACTTTCTTAGCGTGCTGAAGGAGAAAGGATGATCCTAGGAAAGTAATAAATTAAGATTTTCATCATATACCCATCAGAGATTGTAAACTACTTGTTTTTTTTCTGACAGAAAGGATTTGTATCACGCTTTGGGAAGAAGCAGGGTCTGGAGAGCCTGGTAAAGAAGGTCTGCTGTTTGACATTGCTGGCATTGGCTGTTAGCATCCTCACCTACTGCATATGGAAGAGAATGGTGTAGCCTAGTGGCCACAACTACAAATTGACTGAGCTAAAATGGCTGCAGAGGCACAGAGTGAAAGGTGAAACACTTAGCTCAAAGTGAAACATGACTATTTTCACAGCAGGTTGGTCATAATTTCTAAGTGTTTCTCAAAGATTGCTTAATCAGTAGTCAACCCAGATTTTATAGAATAGCCATGCAGCGAGTCTAACACCCTCCTTTCAATATAACCAATTGGCTACTTGTTACTATGCTAGGCACTGTGTAACATGATTTCAAGCTGAAGTAAAATGTTTGTGTGTTTTTCATATCCATTTGTGGCTCACACAAGTTACACAACTACACTTTATTTACAGTGTAGAAAACAAATAAAAGATGTACTGTATAAGCACAATGTTTACCTCCTTTTCTTTTAAAATGGCATTTGTGTAAGAAGTGAGTCAAAAGGTCAAATGTGCTAGAGAAGAAGTTTATTAACATTGAAACAGCAAACAGAACACTGAAACTGGAAAAGACTTGGAACGTTACATTTCATGGCAGAACTGACAGCAGAGCCCTGAAAAAACATTTTTTAAGGCTTTAATTGAGGTCGTCCTCAGCCTCCTCCTCAAACTCTCCCTCCTCTTCGGCGGTGGCGTCCTGGTACTGCTGGTACTCGGACACCAGGTCGTTCATGTTGCTCTCAGCCTCAGTAAACTCCATCTCATCCATACCCTCGCCGGTGTACCAGTGGAGGAAAGCCTTACGCCTGAACATGGCTGTGAACTGCTCGGAGATGCGCTTGAACAGCTCCTGGATGGCTGTGCTGTTGCCGATAAAGGTGGCGGCCATCTTCAGGCCACGGGGAGGAATGTCGCAGACGGCTGTCTTGACGTTGTTGGGGATCCATTCGACGAAGTAGCTGCTGTTCTTGTTCTGCACATTCAGCATCTGCTCGTCCACCTCCTTCATGGACATGCGGCCACGGAAGATGGCGGCCACTGTCAGGTAACGCCCGTGACGTGGGTCGCAGGCGGCCATCATGTTCTTGGCGTCGAACATCTGCTGAGTGAGCTCTGGTACAGTGAGCGATCTGTACTGCTGGCTGCCTCTGCTTGTGAGGGGAGCAAAGCCGGGCATGAAGAAGTGCAGACGGGGGAATGGCACCATGTTCACAGCCAGCTTCCTCAGGTCAGCATTAAGCTGTCCAGGGAACCTAAGACATGTGGTGACACCGCTCATGGTGGCGGAGACGAGGTGGTTAAGGTCACCGTATGAGGGTGTTGTGAGTTTAAGGGTGCGGAAGCAGATATCATACAGGGCCTCATTGTCGATGCAGTAGGTCTCATCTGTGTTTTCTACAAGCTGATGGACCGAAAGTGTGGCGTTGTATGGCTCAACAACTGTGTCTGATACTTTGGGGGAGGGGACGACGCTGAAGGTGTTCATAATACGGTCGGGGTACTCTTCACGGATCTTGCTGATGAGCAGTGTGCCCATTCCAGAGCCTGTACCACCACCCAGGGAGTGTGTGAGCTGGAAGCCCTGCAGGCAGTCACAGCTCTCAGCCTCTTTCCTCACCACATCCAGGACAGAGTCCACCAGCTCTGCACCCTCAGTGTAGTGACCCTTAGCCCAGTTGTTACCAGCACCACTCTGGCCTAAAAAGAAAGAAAAAAAAAGTAAAGTTCAGATGACATTCAAAAACCAATTTGGTGAAAAGGTAAAGAGAAAGACTAATAAAATTCCATACCAAAAACAAAGTTGTCTGGTCTGAAGACCTGGCCGAAAGGTCCTGACCTAACAGAGTCCATAGTGCCTGGCTCCAGATCCACAAGCACAGCACGTGGAACATATTTTCCACCTACAAGAAACAAGAAAATGTGAGCATTCAAAAAAAAAAAAAAAAAGATTACTACAAGCTACAAAAATTTGAGTTTTAATTCACATACCTGTGGCCTCATTGTAGTAGACATTGATCCTGTCTAGCTGCAGGTCACTGTCCCCATGATATGTGCCAGTTGGGTCGATGCCGTGCTCATCACTGATCACTTCCCAAAACTGTGGGATATTGACATCAATTACCAAGTGATTTCAGTTTCACAACAAACACAAGTCACCAGCAAGTTGTACGTAACAATGCGTAAATTGGAGCAGGATGATTTTATAATACTAATAAGTTGAAAATCCGGTACAAAATGGAGGTTAGATAACAGTTCTTTCTAGTTTCCCGCCGTTCTGCAATCCCCGCGCGCGGCCTGGTTTTCTATTGGCTGCTACTAGCCGGTTATGAATTTGAAAAAACTCGGGCTACGTCACTAACCGCCAACACCGCCTACTTCAGGCACAGGCCGGCAGCGTTCAGACGTTACTGCGAACAGCGGGCCTCAGAGAGCCGGGAAAGAGCCTTACAAAACCAACACCTCCCTACTTCAGTACAAAAAATAAAATAACCACCATTCCCTGAGTGAATGAGACTGTCTTGTAGGCGAAACTGAGAAGAGGAAACGGGCTAGCGGTTAGCTTAACTTCCTCTTTGCGCACTGCAGCACAATTTTCATTAACCGTTGGCCAATAATTACGATTCGCCATTCCGTTTGTGCTAAGAGAAATCCTGCCCGGAGATTAAACCGGCAGTCAACCGTTTCAACCTTTACACGAACACACACTCGGCCCCATCACTGCAATCAAATCTTGTTTCTCCATAAAATTATGTAAAATTCTTTTAATCGTTCACATTTCGACGTAATCGTTCAAGCATTGGGATGCCTTAAAGGTTTTAATTGAGTGTGAGAGTAAATTTTCTTAAGTAGGACACGCTGCTCTTCCCAGGGTGTGGCTTCCAAGAGCACAAAGCACCTTCTGACCGACCGCTGAACACGGTGTTTCCAATGAAAATCTAACGACTAAAATCCACTTAAAGTCAAATATAATTTTACTAACCTTTGCGCCAATCTGGTTTCCACACTGGCCGGCCTGGAGATGCACAATTTCCCTCATTTTGGATTTCTGGAGATGGACTACGCCTCACAATGAACAATTTTGCCCGTCTGACTGCGTGCCGGTGGGCGCGTCTATCTAATATATACTACAGTTTGACCCGCCTCCCAACGCTAGACTCGAACGCCCGTTGGCTCATTTGTGTCAGCTTGCAGTATTGGCACAAATTTAGACCAATTATATTTTCAAATCCTTCTCTGCCATTGGTCTGTTGTGCCTGCCAATCACGGTCCTGTCGAACGTGTGACTAGCGTCTAATCTGCAGACGTTGGCCTACTTCATAATGGCAGACAAGAAATGCGACATTTAAGAACATTCATTACACTGGTGTACAGAGCGACCCGAAGAAAATATCAGACCTATTCATCTTCCGACTCAAAACAGATGGTTTTTATTGACCATTCATCGAATACTGATCCTCTCAAAATTGAGGTTAGCCACGGTCCACGTGGCTCAAAACGGTATACAATGACTTGTTAATCTGAAACTCGACCAGCGGAAGCTGTTGCGACAGCCCTGGACACAACTGCTGTGATCCTCGCAGTGATTTTCACTTCCTCTCTGGATAAACTGCATTTCATTGCTTAGTTTATGATAGTTATATGTTGAGTTTGAAAAGGTGTAAAATATAAGGATAAAGCTGCGTTTTTTGCCTTGAGGGGGAATGTTTAAAACCACAAGGCAAAAATATACTTTTAAATAAAGTCACACTGAATAAAAGCTCTTTAAAAAATGGAGCAGGAATAAACATTTCAAGTTTGAACACAGTAACCTACATCTAGGCCCCTCACTGAACAGTAAGGCAATATAGCCTTAAGAATAAGAGATATATTGATCCTCAGTAACAGATCTGTGCTTCCCTGCTACCTGAAATAAGATTTTTGACTTAAAAGGTTAGCCTCACATTCATCTTGGGAGATGAATGAATGAAACAGTTAATGACATAGTCATACAGCCTCCCTTATTATGAACATAAGCAAAAAAAAAACAAAAAACTTTGATACATATAGTCTATCCTGCCCTGTATTCTGTAAACCAGTGTTATTGAATGAGGGCAGATGGGTTTATTTTTAATCTAAATGCCAGGCAAGTTTGTGGCTGTGACGCCAGCACTTCCTTACTGTACAGTTGCCATGGGCCAAGACTGTAAGAGGGGCAGGCCAGGGACATCCCCCCAGATGCTAGTCGCCATAACGATTAGACTTGTGTTTACTCCTGTAAGGCTTAACATTTCTTTCCATGGATGTACCGGCCTTAAGCACAGTATCTTTGCATACCATGCATGTTTTTGTAGATTAGTTCTTGTGCACACCGGTAAAAACTTTGTGGGGTGCATGAATAGAGGTTCATTGTCCTCTTCTTCTTCTGAGTGTTGTTATAATGAATTCAAATTCACTCTTTATGGCATGATTTGTTTCTTTTACAAGAACATTAGTGGAATGCTTATCATAGAGTATGTGGGTCACACTACAGTCTCCTCTGTGTGAGTGTATGGAAATTCGACACACAAAGGAGCTATGTCAGAGAGAATGAGTCAGGTTGCAGACAACTACTCCCTTTCTCGACATCAGCTCTTAATTTGCAGAACTATCCTGCAGATACATTACAAGTCAAAGCCCTGAAACAGTGTGAAAAACAGTGTAAAATTGATTTTTTACACATTTCTCGATTGATATACCACAATTGACATATTTCCCACATATTTTCCTGTATAGCTTCAGTTGTGCTTAATGCCTTGAGCCAATTAATGCTACATTCCATTCACGTGGCAGCTGCTACCCCATGCAAATTCAACAGTCAGACTACATGTTCTGAATATGGTTTAAATTGCAAACTTGCCTTTATCAAACAACTCATATCTTCAAAGTGATCATGAAGCAATGATTGGGAACATGTCATATGTGTATGTGACATTTCATTAAAAATCATGATTATTTTATCCAATCAGACATAAAGCAAGTTCAAAAGGAGATATATGGATGATTTCTTTAGATAGCTTAATAATAATAATACATTTTATTTAAAAGCGCCTTTCTGGACACCCAAGGACACTGTACAGGGCATTAAGAACACAGTTAAAACACAGTTAAAATAAATAAAAACAACATACAGGTATGAAGATGGACAGTTAAAGGGAGTATGCAATTTGGAACAGATGTGTTAAGTCGTATATTCATAAATATTTCACTTCTACTACACCATTCAGGGCTTTCATGTTTTCATCAGGACATCATCATGGAAATCGAAGTCTTAGTAAGCTGTCTTTCTTGTCGTTTGTTTACAACTGTGCAGTAGAAAGACCTCTTTTCCCTTAATGTACACATAAGCTACTAAACCTGTATGAGAGTGCTTTAAGTAACACCACCTCTTGCCATTTGCTTTCTGAAATAAAACCCCCACATATCATATGTGCCATAATCATAATCAGTACACTTTTTCCCTTGTCTTCTTTGGTGTGACTGATCAACACAGCACTGTTTCTTGCTTTTTACTAGCAACATTAAACAGTTTATCCAGGAGTTTGCAATATGTTGTGATGTGCAAAAGTCTATATGATGACTCAGAATGTATTATGTAGATGGATTATAATCCAGAGGATGTGTGTTTATGTAAGAGTATAACCAGGGCTTTATTAATGAGACTGTTCTTGTGATTTGAGATGTTGTCCTTTAACCCCTGTAAGGCTATAAGAGGAGTCTACCTTGCTTACAATTGAGAACACAACTGCTGGCATGGCTGACACTACTGCAACTTTCAGTTTTCAAATCACTCTCCTGTGGCTGTTGATTAACTCAGATATTGTTATATAGGTACCTATGAAGTAGGGCATTACATGCTGATAACCAAGAAGTAGGCTGTGACTCATGTCATCTCTCACCGTTGTCAAAAGTGAGCCAAAAACAACTTACTATAGCATGTGCTTGCTAATGTGGAAGGAAGCCAAAAGGCCTGCTGTTTATCAAAGGGTAAATTAAAGGGTTAATCCATTATTGTTTTTAATTTTCTTTCTGCTAAAACAATGGTCTTTTTCTAAAGCCAACACAGTGTGTTCAGCCTAAATTATTCAAGCACTGGACATGGTTAAGGTTGATTTAAACAGTATCGCAGTTTCACACCAGTTACCTGATACAGCCATGGAGCTTGACAACACCTAGACAACCATGACCTGCAAGAATCCTGCCAAAGCATGACATGGCATCCCTGGAGAGTCCCATTAGCATGCTAACATTACCAGCTAGCTTAACAAACAGGTGTATCTTACAGCCTCACAGAGCTGCCATCACTGACAGAGACTCATGAAAATAAGAAAATAGTCTGAGGCTACTGGACTATTGTTTGATTTTACAGACCTAGCTATTATTTTCTGATGAGTAAAAGGGGATCTTGTACCCATTTTCAGTTCTTTTTTTCTTTTTATCCAACAACTCTGAAAATAATCACCAAGTAATTTGAGCATACAGTATAAAACGCAACGTCATCCAGTAAAAAGCAGTATTACAGGCAGCCTCAGGACTTTGCAGACACTCTTTGATCTCAGTCAGTTGTGTTCTTCTTTAGCCTGTTTTCTTTGTTCTAAAGCTGATCAATAATTCATTGATGTCTCTCTTTGGGAGGGTGCTTTGAGTGGTTTGTGGTGACAGCTTGAGCAGGTCAGCTGCAGCTTAATGCATGAAAAACCTTTCAACACACAGGGAGGAGGTTTTACTGTTTGATGCTTTTTAACATGTACAGTATAGCTTACAATGAAGCATTTTCACAATGTGTACAGTACTGAAGCACACAGTGTGCCTCTGTGCTGAAGAACCGGTCCTTCTTGCCATGACTCAGCTTCTCTCAAGTCTCTGCAGCATTCAGCACTCTGCCTCCAGCAGTCAGATCAATATTACAGAGACGAAACAGATGCTGCTGGGAGAGCCGCGCCCACATCAATCCTGCTCAGAGGATATAACAATAACATCAATGAATACCATTAGATCATAAAAGAAAACCTCATAAGGAAAACTGAGACAGATTTTTTTTTCCCAATGACAAAACAACTAGACAAGATTAATAATTAATAAATGAATTACATACATTTATATTTAACTAAAATTCTTCTGGAATCGTTCGCTTTGTTAACAATTTAAAGGCCCATAAATTCACATACAAATCGGATTAGGAGGATAGCGTGTCTTTTAGATCATCTACATTGAATATTGTTTTCACAGAGATTAATTTCGGCTTTTTCCTTTAATAATTCTAAAAGGAAATATGGGTAACAGATATCTCTAAGACACACAGTATACCTCAAAACCTGTAGAAATATTTCAGGATATGTGCATGATGACAGATCACTGTAGAGTTGCTTTTTAAAGCGTGCTTCGTAACGATTGGGAGATTGCTGAATCTTAGTTTCTAGCTCATGGTCTAACTCGGTCTTTACTCCAAGCAAGGTCCAACCATTGGCATCACATTCAGTGGAAACACAGTGACATCAGATCCCGTGAGACCCCTCTACATCTGGTTTCAAAATGACTTCCTGCCTTCCTGTTTGGTGGTGGAGAAAGCGCTTTTTTGGTTGTTCGGGGATTGAACCTCACTGTTTTCATGCACTGTCATTTTCCATGTTTGGATGTCAAGGCTGATGAAAACAAGAAAAATGCTAATAATGCTAATCCTTTGTTTCGAAAAATTCTCATTATTCAAGTCTGAATGTTTGCCCCCAACAGAGAAATGGCTGGAAAGATTTTCAGTGTTTGACTGTGTGAAATAACTTTGCAGGACAACTATGTACCAGCTGATGTGAGGTTCTCCACTGTGTTTTGTCCTGTAATGTAGGTTGATTTGGTGAACAGGTGATTAGACAGGAACAGCTGGATCCCAGTATACAGTATGTCTACAGAGAGAAGTACTGATTCACTCTCAGATCAAGTTACTGAGTCCCTCACTACAGCAGCATTCAGCCAATCTCACATTCACCTTGAAACCACAACAGTTTCATGCCATAGAAACACATCAGACATGATCAAAGTGTGTCAGTACAACAGTTTGTTTAACCTCAGGCTAAACAAACTCAGCTGGCTTTGTAGAAGACTCTGTGAATACAATGACTCAGCTGCAAAGAAAGCAGAACACAAGACCTTTAAAGAGATGAATGATCAATTCATCAAGATCATTCAGTCTTGGTTATAGTAAAAATCATTCTGTAATCATAAATAATAGAGGCATGGAGAGGAAAACTGGATTTCTTCAAAGCATTAACTTTGTAACAAATGGGCTAATGCTAATGTTATTCATTAAAGAGGGAGAAAACTTGGTATGATTGCCAAAGTGATCAACCACAAATGTAAAGGCATCTAGGAATTATATGCCAACAGTTTATCTTTAATTTGCATTCATAGCTTCTCTATCAGGCTATGCCACCTTTAGCAGTCCAAATCATCCATTCACTAAGTTTACAAGCCACACTCTAAAAACTCTTGGGTTATTTCTTTAACCCAATTCCTGTGTTTTAAGTGTCGAGTTAAATTCCTGGGTTATTTTTCAGATCCATACCCATTTCTTGGGTCATATGGATTCTATTATAACCCAATTTGAGGGTTTTTTGAATGGGTTAATAATTATGGGTTATTTTTCTGAGAGTAACCCCATAATTGGGTCAGAATGTTGGGTTCGATTGACTCTACCTGGTAGGTACCCTGATATGTATTGGGCGGCTGGGGTATCTCATCGGGTAGACCGTCCAGTTCCCAACCGGGGGGGTTGGGGTTTTATACCCGCATGAGACACATCTGTAAGGAACAAACTACATCTACCAGTGTGGGTCCTTAGGCAAGACCATTAGCGCTATGGCCTACCTCATTAACATGAGTGAGCAAAACCGATTCAGACGTCGCCAGAGATAACAAGGTCTGCGTCACATGCTGAGAAACCAGGGCATTGAAACTGGCATAACAGTACACGGGATAATAGTGTACAGGTTGTAAAAGCAAAGCTCCCCAAATGCATATATCAATTTAACCCAAGATCATGAGTCAAATTAATTCGAAGATTGGGTTGATTTGACCCTTAAAAAGAGTTATTGAGTCAACCCAAAATTATGGTTAATTTGAACAACCCAACATTCTGGGTCAAAATAACCCACTAAGTAGTCGGTCCCTTTTCAGCCCTGGTGTTGGGTTTTTAGAGTGCAGTCAGTGTTCTCCTGTGGTTATTGTAAACTCGTTCAATTAAGATGTTCAGTCCTGGAAACATATTCAGAGACACCCGTGTTATCTTGTGCAACTGTCTAAAACAACCGCAAAACATCTTGTTACAGTACTACTAAATTTGTCCAGAGGACTTTTTTTGTCTCCAACAAAGCCACCCGCCAAAACATCATTTTATTTACATTTACTTACACTTAAATGGTCAATGGAGCGAGAAGAAACCACTTAGCTAAAGTCCTGGTAACGATGACAAGCTTGGCAGAATTGGCTGAGATGAATAGCAAAGCTGCCATAGTCTCTATAACTTAAGAAATTGTATAGGTCCAAGATGAGGATGGATTTTTGTCTCCTTTACGTCATTTTGTTTGTACTGTTACAAGATTTCACCACAGAGTTATCTGACATAATAGCAAGATCACAGTAAGGCTACTTAGCTAAAGAAACATGGACGATGAATAATCAGCAAATGAGACACTTTGCATTGGAGATTTTTTTACTTAGTGTGATACTGTGTAAGTAGAGTCGTTAGATATACAGATATAGAAGCTTTTTAAAGACTACTCTATTGATTTTTCCCCATACTGTGTCATTAAGAGTTTCCTCAGAGGGTTGAGTCAGGATGTCCATTTGATGCTAATACAGTTAGATAGCTAGCAGGCTTCCGAGGGCCGCAGCAACTCTGTGCACTCAACATGATGGTCAACGTGGTCCAGGGGAAGTCCATGAATCTGCCCACCCTATGTAGGATATCTGGTTACACAAATACAGCAGTCATAATATTGAGTGTTGCTGCAGCTGGCTGTGGGGGGAGGGTCTGACTTTACTGTACAATCTGCTGATGTGTCTACAGCTCTTTGTTGTGTGTCTTCAGGACTCTGTGTGCTTTCCAATGAGAGAAAAAAAGCTGTGCTCATAAATCATAGATCCAGCCTTTAAATGATAGCAGCAAAAAGGCTGCTTCTGTATCGACTTGAAGACTGCATTGCAGGCAGCTGAAGGCTAATAAAATCCCCTTCCATCATGTTCAGATGCCAAAAGGGGAGGGATCAGGAAGCAGCAGGGTTTATGGAAAATATAGTTATACTCAGTTACTGCCTGCAGTGCAGTCAATGTCAGGAAGCTCAGATACTTTTAATGTAACTTTGAAACCCTCATCATTACCAGGGCAGCTTTTAAGGTGAAGTTTGATACTTTAGAAACAGTTGATAAATCAGTCTCTACCACCTCAAACTGCTTGTTGTGTTTTGTTTTTCAGTCAAACCAATGGGAGGCTGCAACAAACTGGCATTGATTCAGGAAACCTGTGTTTCTCTTCTATATCTAAATCTTAGTGGATTCAATTGAAGCTTGAGTGAATATTTCCAAAACAAACGTTGTTACATTACAGCGCAGACCGATCTGCTTGATCTGCATGGCTTCCACATAAAGCTACAACTCTGTATCATTGTCTAAATGCATGCTGGGATCGCATTTCTGTAATTTGCAGTAATTTAAGTACAATGACATTGTGATTTTATACACAAAGAGCACACCTACAACAAACAAGTATTTATTTATACAGCAGAAAAAACTGAGTCGGAGCAGTTGACATTTGAAAACCTCCAATAATTGCTCTTTTTGACTTTGGTGCAAAATTTTTTCTGCAGTTTTTCGCAACCTACGTTGCAAACCAATCCCCAACAATCCGCACACTTTGATATATCATTTGTCCCACAACTTTTTAAGCTGTAGGGCTTTTAACCCATCAAAATTTGTCCTGAAAAGGAATGAGAAAAATCCATTGTATTGTTATTATAGAGGGGCCAGTGCCACTGTGCGTTTGCCCTGTGTCCCTAATAAGGATTTTGGTTGAGAGTCAGCCTGTGTGTCCCATGTGTACCACTGATTAGCTATTTGTGTTAACAAGAAATTTACTTATGGATAAGAAATAAAATTACACCTTCAGGTTTTGATTTGATTAAAACTCTATCATCCTGCCACCAAAGGGTAAGCATCTAAAGTCATCTGAGACAGCTGCTGAGCCAAAAGCCAAAACCACATGACTGTGAACCAGCTGTACTGCACTCTGTGCTCAATGCATCCATTGTCTAATAGTTCTCTATTCAGCAACCATATTGAGTTGTGTTTGAGTAAACCTCAAAAATGCAGTGATTCAGGGTTTTGTCATATCTGCAGAACCTAGAGGGGAATGAAAACGAAATTTCCTTTAACCACAAGGGGGCACTGTGAGTCCACTGGCTACAGAGTTGAGTGGTACAAGAGAAACCTTTCAAGACTATTTTTAACTCTCTGATTATGAACATGATTTTCATGAATGTCATCCTGCTTTTCATACCTGGAAGGGAGCACATTATACAAAACAGGCAGAAACAGAGAACTTGTTTTGGTTTCGCCAAACCTGCCTCTGACTCACTACATGTTTTCATCAGTTTATAACACACCCCTGTGAGGTCAGCAACCATACAGCCCTGCTTTTCGTCAGCCTCTATAAATTATAAACTGGTAGGGTGGTGAGAATTTATGATGAGCTGCAGCATGAGTAATGGGATATTAATAATTCTGGGATTGCACACCATGACTTAGTTGTTGAAAAAGTGATTAGGTTAGAGCTACAGAATAAGATATAATTGTTTAAAAGAAAAAAATATATATCTACACAAAAACAGATTTTGATAAAAAAAGAAAAAGCAATCAGATTATCCTAATCCCATCAGTGTCAATCATAAAAAATATAATGTCATATCCCTTTTTTTAAAAAATCCCTGAAAACTTTTAAAGACATTTCAAACATAATAACCATATGTCAACAACGCAGCCAGGGGTCAGAAAATGTGTATGACTTGAATTTAATTTTTTAATTTTATTTTAGACCTATACTGTAAGCAGCCACCAGGGGGTACTGTTCTCTTTGATGCTTCAACCAGCAAGGAGGCATATGACAGGGGAGGCATATGACGTCCATTGTGTATGCAGTCTATGGTTACAACTTTCAGCTTATCAGCAAATTAAAGTGTTCAAGATTAAATAATAATAACAATAATAATAATAATACATTTAAGAGTAAATCAGAACAAACTGGATAATTGAGACACTGAAATAGCTGTAAGCGAGAGCCCAAATGTTTATAAAAGACTTGATAAAATCCATGATGATGCTGAGAAAAAAGATCTGGGTGAGTGAGGACAAGGGTTCTGATGTGTTTCCCTGCCATCTAGTGGTAAGTGTAAGAACTGTATTCAAATGGTTTACAGCTGCAACAGAAGCTCACTCAGAGGGAAGTAAACATATTGGTTTAAAACTAGAGATTGATGGATTTGAAAATAATGTTTCTTAGTATAATCGATTTCGTCAAATATTACGAGTAAGTAAAAAAAGATTCCTTAAAAATAACTCTTTCACATGAACAAAATTAGGGCACCTTTGATGAAAAAGTATTTGTAAAAAAGAAATTGACCTATGCCAACAAGAAATACTGTTAACTAAGGTGTCATACATTTTTCATTTAGTTTGATATATATATATATATAAAATATATGTTTTTGTATAATCCACAAGATTTGGTAATTTTTTTTATGATCTGTGATAAAAAAAATGATAGCACTTTGACTGTGAAAAGTTTTTAAGTCGAGGATTTTTATTTCATTTTTTAAATGTATGTACAGCAACAAGTATCCAGCAGTCATGTATAAAAGTTTGCAGAGCTTGGGGACTTTGATGATCTCGGCTTTGCAGGGGCTGTTGAGGTCTTTTATAGTAGTGTGCAGGTTTTCTTCAGGCTCACTTTTCCTTCTCCTCCTCCTCCTCCACCATCACTGCTGGGTTTGTCTGCTCCATCCGGCTGTCTGCCAGCTGTAAAATGCACAGCCTTTACTCTGGAAAGTGATAGTAAATACTGTTGAGGCCTGCCACAGATAAAACTAAAGATAAAGAGAAGCTGCTCACTTGATGGCATGGTAATGTTGAATTTGTCCAATAATCAGCAGATATTTGTAAAGTAATTTATCATTTGACTTGTAATTTCAGCTCTTGTAATGTTTTATGGTCATGTATTGTGTGTATCGTTTTATTGGACAGCTTATTGCGAGTTAGAAATTTGTCAACTTCAGCTTGACATGATTTTTTCCTCTCTAAATGGCAGTGAAATACAACTATGAAATAATAAAAAAAGGATAAGTTATCAAAATTGTTACTTTGTGGACTAAAACCTTACAGATAACTACTGTGGTAAATAGTTTTAAATAAATCATACATGGTTAGGGGTCCTTAACCACCCCCAGGATTTTTCATCTTATCTGAAAGGTGTTTCATTTTTTTTTAATCACAATTTTACAATATGTATTAATTGTGCTCATTTTATTAAAAACACTTGTGTGAGGCACATTCAGTTTCTGTTGATTTGACGCCCCCTATGCGCAAAGATGTTCATCTCATCACTTCCTGTATATTTTTCTTTATTTCTTTAATTATTTATTTCTTTTTTATAGTAAGGTGGTATTTTCTGACAAAAAAAAGTATAATAAAACTGCTTCCTTCAGAAAATTTAAATTGTCAAATACACAGTAAAAAAATTGAAGCATCAGTATATTGTCAATCATCTGATCATCTGTTCACACAACATGATTTAGACATTGAAAATATACAGGAATATTTAATCTTGAGCATCAATTTTTATAGTTTTCAATCTTTTTATGTTGAATATGTTGAAAGGATGAGTGTTTAGAAGAATAAAAGAAGCGTAATCTAGATCATGTGTCACCTGCTTTGAGAACGTTGTCCTCAAAGTATCCAGGCATGTTCATGTTCCCGGGTGGCCTGTACTGTCCAACCACAAACACCTTGTTTCCGTCAGTGGCCACGCCCACTCCCAGCTCAGTGCTCGCCTTCCACACCACCTGAGTGAAATGACCTTCAGGGAGAAATGTAGCACTGCACCGTGAATCCCTATACATCCATGACTCCAAACTTCAGTGTTAGTGAGAAACAAAGTACAGCGCCACCTAGAGGTACAAAACATTCACGGGTCAACTTTCATTACAACTGAAGCAGATGTAAAATTTCTCCATTATAGTGGCAATTTTGGATTCTTGGGTTAAAAACTTTTTGATTTAAATAAATTCAAGCCCGATCAAATAAACATATAAGTTATTCTTTTTTTAAATATATGACAAGCAGTGACTTTTTTTAATTAAATAAAAAATGCTTTACTTTATATTTAAAATAAACATAAATTACAAGGGTTTCAGAGTTATGGAAAACTGAAGTAACTGCAAACTTTTTTTAATCATTTAATTACTTTTGAGTAAAATTATTTGCACAGGATTAGTACTTTGATAATTTCCATAATCATGCAGGAAATCTAAAAAGATTTTAGACCCATGTGGACTGACTGTGTCTGTTATTTGTACATTTAACATCTTAGGGCATATCACTGACTGTATCCTTCTCTGATAATATTGAAGACCTGCAACCAGAAAAAGTGCTTTAAAATCTGTCTAAAGATAAAACACTTTGCAGCGCGCAGTAAGGAGCATGAATCAGTTTATTGCGGGAGTGGGCTAAGTGCACATTAAGGTAATTTGCCTGCAAAGTGCACTTTAGTTATTGCTGCTTGGCACTCACTTAATCACTTGATGACACTTTCAAGTCAATTTTAACTACTCTTGAAAATGGAGAGGGAAAAACTGGGGTTTGTCTGAGTACAAATTGTTGTGTTGCACAGTACTCTATAATCTTAATATGACATAAAGTCATAATATTTATATGATATTTTTAAATGGACATCTTCTTCTTTTATGAATCTCTGGCAGGCTGTGTACACAGTAGAGTGTGCTGCTGCCCCCAGAGAGTATTTTGTGCAGAACATTGGTGTTTTTAAATAGCAGTAAATGTGCAACTATGCCAAGTCAGATGCTGGAGGCAAATCACAAATCTTATCTTGTGTGAATCATGTGTCAACACAACATTTTTAAGGATTTAATTGACTGTATAAGCTTGAAGGGCATCATTTAAATGGACACCTTTGCATGAAAATTCAAAATTATAAATTCCTCTAAGTTGTACAATTAAAAACTTGACAAATATTTTCAGGCCACCTTTTGTTTCGGTCATTCAATGAAAATGAAGTTTTTAAAAATGAAGTTTTAAAAAGGTTTTAGACCCATCTAGGAATTTATCATCCATCTAGTAGGGTGACTTTTACCTGTATTCCCACTGAATCCAGGTTTGCCCCAGTTGTAATCCTTGATTTCACCGTACCAGGAATCTACAGCTTCTTTACCTGTAAGAGAAAAGAGAGAGGAAAAATGCATAAAAGATTACAAGTACACCTAGAAATACAGAAAAAAACACATCAAAATACATCATCCAAAAAAGTTCCTGTCAAAAATAACAACAAAATCACCTGCAATGGCTTTTTAATTTACCTATAGTTGGGGCCGATTAAACTCTGGATCACAACAACAGATGGATGTCATTGTGTCAGAAATTTAGATAACTCAGTCAAGTCTTTTGAAATATTTGCTCACATCTTTGCAGGAAGTGGTTGGAAAGGCTATTGCTTAAAAACCGCTGCGTGAATTCAGTTTTACTTAAATATCTTGTGGCAAATCTTCACAGCTCTGGTTTCACGTAGTACAAAAAGAGGAACTACTTAAATAGTCTACCTGTCAGTTTGATGGGTGCAGAGCTGAACATGTTGTAGATGTTCTCTCCATCTGAAGTTTGGCTGTGCTCAAAGACGCCTTTTGCCAGCAAGTGATCGGCCCATTTCTGAGCTGTGGCGTTCATCTCGCTGTTGTATGTCAGTAGTGGTGCGTTGTGCTTCTTCCTGTAGGCGTTGTGAGTTTCCAGGAACTCCTTCAGAAAGCTTTCATCTGCAGATTAGGAGAGATTTTCAGTTGTGCTGAGAGGAAATTTTACACGCACATTAATGGATGTAGATAAATGATGCATGTGGATGAATGCTTGCACACAGGATGATGACGGTGAGTTGTGTGCAAGTAAAGCTCCTACCTGCCATTCTGCTGGTGGTTAGGCTGAAATAAAAAAGAAAGAGCAAGATATAATACCCAAAATGACAAACCCAGCCATACATATATTTGTAAATCACTGAAGATAGTAGCTTTTCTGCTGATACCTTCATGTGACTGCAGTTACCTTAATTTCTTACCTTGCTTAAGGTGTTTCCTCAAAGTCTTGACTGATGTCTTGAAGACACAAGACAGAGCTGCCGTCAGCTGTCCTGAAGCTGATATTTATATCCACGAGCCTTTGGTCCCCCACCTTATCCACTTGTAGGAGGAGACTGACAACCGTCCCTTGTCTGTAATTATTTCCCTGTACTGGAGGTTTTTGAAAATGACTTATGGTGTTGTTTGCAGGATGTTCCACATTCTCAACATGCCTTTTTTTTGGTTTGTTTGTTTTGTTGCAGAGTTATTTTATTTTTTATCTAGAGTATCAGTCATGAAAAAAAATTTCTCTGTGGAAATTTATCAAGAAGTGGGTGTTTTTTCTGGCCAAGTTGATCCAGAGATTAAGAACAGGTTTTCCTGGGTTATCACCCTGGATTTTGTGTCTACAGGTGACTAACAACACAATGAGTGTGGTCTAGACATGCTCTTTTTTGGAGAGCGTCTTGAGATAACAACTGTTATGATTTGGTGCTATATTCATAAAAAAAAAATGATTGATTGATTGAACTAAGAACTGCAAATAATCGCAACAACAACAGTAGTTATAATGAGAAAAAAATGCAAACAAAGAGAGGGCAAGTCAAACAGGTTGTAGTAAACTCTCCTCCAGTTATGGACAGATTCCTTTCTGCTAACCAACAGCCTTCGTCTGCAATTACAGGAGATTTTAATGAGTGGAAGCCCATAATAAACACAGACAAGGAGAAGACTTCAAAAGCACATGGAGCTCATTAGCTAACTATAAAACACTGCACCCCTCATACACATATATACTACTGTAACCACAAAACATTTCTAAATTATAGCGGCATGATAATCTGCTCACCCAGAAGTTTAACGCTGGATATCACAGCATTGCTGTTTCTCAACCACCTGCAGCTAACAGGATGGAGAGCTGTTCCGTGTTTGTGGGGAGTCAGTACTCACAGACTACAGGCTGTTTGGCTATGCATCAAAACTTCAACTTCCTCTCTCTCAAAGGCAAGCAGTGGCAGGAAAATGCAATTAGGCTAGCTCTGTTCTCCTTTTGCTTGACCAGATTTCAGTACTGTTTTTGACAGCTCTGAGGAAGCTTCAGCGATAGACGTCTGTAGCAGGAACCACAGGAGTTTCTCAGCAATTGTAAATCACTACTTCTCCCCAACAGTTTGGCTGATTTGACCCACAGATCAGTCTGTAGTCTTCTTCAGTGGCCTTTCAGTGCTGACAGAATAAAGCAGAGACTGACTTGCAGAAGTGAAACAAAAAAACTGCAGTTTCTAAGTTGTCATTTGAGACTGACTGCAAAAGCTCAAGAAACACCACTGAGACCTTGAGTAAAATATCCATGTTGACAGTGGAAACAAACACAACCAAGTTAGAAACTGTTTTTGTTTCAATATCTCCGTTTTTTATTTTTACACTGTAGTAAGAAAACAATAAAACGTTGGCTTAATCAAAAAAAGAGTAAGGCTACGAGTAGGAACGTAACAATATTTTCAATTTTGTGAAATTTTGTGCTTTATTGTGAAAAGAAAAGTGTCATGATGGACCTGTGACAGGATACCATGGGCTTTACGGAAAGAAAAAAATGTAGTTTCTTATAGCTTCAGAGGGAAGTGGGGACTACAGAGACCATCATCCCATGCATGCTCATCATCCTTTGTGCTTTGCCTGCAGTGAAAATGGTGAGCGCTGGAACAAAGAGATAGTTTTGAAATTTTGGTCAAGAAATAAGAACGGAGACAAGGTAAAGATTTGAGAAGATTTAAGGGAAACAAAATCAGCCAGACCAAAAAAAAATATAAGGACGTGTTTAAAGCCTCACTTCCTGTAACAGCGTAAAAACTCAGTAGGTCACAGTGTATATTGCTGAATATACAGCCAAATACCTGCAGCCATTTTCTGTGACTGACCACAAAGGATCCAGAGGGGTAGTGAACAAGTTCCCCAAAAGTCAGTTTGAGTTGCATTTCCATCATGGGGACTTCACTGGGCTTCAAAACGACTGTTGACCAATCAGTAGATGACAATACTGAGGCCGAGCCCATGATTCAGACAAATTACCGCTCTCACAATTAGCTGATTTAAGGGCGATTTGTAACACTGTCAAGTGGACAGCACCAACATGTTTACACCACTGTTATCTTTCTTTTTCTATTATCATTGTTAAAACACAATGCAGTGATTTATATCTTACTGATGGCTATTGATGCTCATAATCAGCCTGTTTGACTCTAGCTGTCACAGTTATCATTCACAAATGAACTTACATTTTTTTATGCCCAACTCCTGCTGATATTTCATGGATTACTACTATTTTGTTGGTATTTTAGCCATAGGGTGCGCTATGTGTCTTTTTTTTTTTTTTGCAAAATCACTCATTTTAAGTTTGTTGTCTGTAACACATTACAAAAAAATTAGAAATAAAGGCATGTTCAGAAAGCACCTGTTAGTAACATTCCCCCTGCTATGATCGCAGCACCTCACAACTGCAGCATTTGATTTGATTTGGACTTGAGCACATTCTTTTCAAATCTGCATCCTCCTTGTGGGAAGTGTCAGAGCCATTGCAACACAATTTTTCACTCAGCCCTCCTCCTGTGTTAGGATCTGCACTGACCCGTTTTTGATTTTAAATGCTTAAAAGAACCACTTAAATGAGCTTTTTTGCATCAAGACTTTCTGACTTTGTTAGGAACCTCTATTTCAACAAAATAAAAATAAAAAAATAAAATTGACTAAACTATAAAATGCTCTTATTAAAATTATGGCACTTGCCGTGTTAGGGTTGCTGTTGACCCGGTTAGATCAATATATAATAATTAGAGCAAAAACTAAAATCTAAAACTAAAATCTAAACTGAAAGTGCACTGTCAGGCAACAAATCGGATGATAGAGAATTTTTTTCAGTGTAATTTACAGCTGATTTAAGACACGGGTCAAAACCGACCCTGAACATGGTGGGTCCGTAGTAAAAGCTAACACAGGAGGAAGGTTAGTTTGGTTCAGCTCATCATTCAGAACACTGATCTGGTTGAAAACCCTTGTTAGATGTAAAGTCTGTATATGCAAAAACAAAACATGGATACAACAGGATCTCAAGACAAAAAGTTTGAGTGGTTCACTCTGCTGGTCAGATGCTTGCTTTGCATATAGACAATGTGGGAAGCATGTTTTGACATGACTTTAAATGTCAGCTTTGAGTAACGGTATGCAGCATATATGTTTCCCATGTATGGATCCTATCATTATAGCTTACTGCCATGGGATGTAAAGGTTATTGCAGCAAAGACAAAGACCTGGAAGGGGCCCTGAGCTGTCATCTTATGTCTGATGTGATGATTGCTGTCTCAGTTTTTGTCATCAAACATTTTCTTTGACCTTTACCGCCACACGACAACCTAAACTCAAACATTGAAGGGACCAAAACACATGTTTGTATGTATTTGGTAATACAATTTTAAACATTGAGCTGGTTGAGAGGCTTTGTAAGCATAGTTAGCATAGCATCTTACTACTCTGTATAAAAGCATTTAACAGCATCTCCATACTTCCACAAAACCAAATCTTGGAGTAAAAGAAATACTCTGAGATTTTTTCCTTGATATGAAACATTTTATTTATTGTAAAACCTTTAAAATGAAGCATATTTTAGCTTTTCTCCTCTGCTAGCTTGAGATCCACTTCCAGGACCAGGAACTGCTGTACAGAACTGAAACCTGCCATTGGCTTATATGGATGTGGGTGATATGGAAGTTACCAGGTTTAAAATAACAAATGTTATTAAACAGTAATCTGAGAATGAACTTTATATTAATTTATTCAGATATGCTTTTTTAACTCTGGTGCAGTCACCAATCCCTGTCATCTGGTAGGAGTCAGCTGCCATGTAAGAGGCTGAATGTCTTATGGGGAGAGGATAGAAGTCAGACAGTTGTTAAAAAGTGTTGCTAGCAAACAAATAACATACTGATCTGCTTTGGCCAAAGTGGAAGTGTGTAAAGCTCTGACCCTAACCCTAACCCTAACCCTAACCCTAACCCTAACTCTTACCTATACCTAACCCCTAACCCAACCCTAATGCTAACCCTAGCATGGGACAACTGGAAGTGTGTAAAGGTCTAATCTGAGTCCTAACTCTAACCCAAACTCTAATCCTAACTCATAACCCGAACCCTAGCCCAACCCTAACCTGTAGCTCCAACCCTGACCGTAACCCGAGCCCCAACCCTAGACTTAACCCTAACCCCAGCCTCAACCCTAACCCTAGCCAAACCCTAACCCTTGCCAAACCCTTACCCTAGCCTTAACCGTAACCCTAGCCTGAACCCTAACCCTACCCCAACCCTAGACTCAACCCTAACCTTAGCCTCAACCCTACCCTAGCCCTAACCCTAGGCTCAACCCTAACCCTAGCCCAACCCTAACCCCAACCCTAACCCTAGCCCCAACCCTAATCCTAGCCCTAACCCTAGACCTAACCCTACCCCTAGCTCCAACCCTAACCCTTACCCTAGACCTAACCCTAGCCTCAACCCTAACCCTAGCCCCAACCCTACCCCTAGCCTCAACCCTAATCCCTAACCCTAACCCTGTCCCTAACTTAAGTGAACAGATTTCTTTTGACATTTTTGCTATTATCTGCTTTTTTTTTTTAAATTTCATAAATTTTTTTGTTGTTGTTGTTTGGAGAATTATTCTTTAACTAACTCTGATGCAGTCCTTTGCTGCATCCAAAACAAATGCAGGTTAAAACTGGACGATTCAAAGGGGAGGCAATATATAAACATGATGGGGACACGTTGGTGACTTCTCTGAGCGCAGATCACTTTAGGATGGACTGAGGGGCAGTGGAAAACTATTCTGTGGTTCTTCTCAAAACACGGACACTGCATCCTCTTCTCTAATAACGACAGGGATCATCTTTCTTGTCATGAGACACACACACAAAAACAAACATTTGACTGCATTAGTATAACCGGAGTGACAATAAACATCTGCCCTGTACAAAGTCACCAGGGGTCATTTTTTCAGAAACATAAAACCTTGCACAAATTTCACTTTCGTGCATCTACCAGGGCCGACACCACCTTTGTTAAGCACACTCAAATTTCTCATCGATGAGGAGCAAAACAAACAAAAAGTAACTGAACATAATTTCTTAGAGGTTTTGCCGCACAGTTGTTGCTTCTTCCTCTGGCTCCTGGTGGAGGAGGAATGATCACATTCATTTATAATTGAGCAGGTCTGTTTTAGTGTCATTCTCTTTCTTAATGGGACGTGTGGGAGTGAACTGAGACTCGCTGTCGTCCACAAAACATCCAAACCCTGTCAGTCCCTCCTCCTCATGAGACAAAGAGGAGTTTAGCAATCTCTGTGTGGGAAATCTTTTTGCGTAACTTTTTTTTTTCTTCTTTCTTTTTTAATGTCAAAGTTAAATGTCCCAGCTGTGACAGTTTGTGTGAACAGAAACATCAGGCCTGTCACTACCCATCTGTCTCTTATTCAAAGACATTTTTATGGGTTTAGTCACAGACCGCATAAAAAACGTTTCTGTTTGTGGCTTCCTGAGGTGGATGACTAAATTATTCCAAAGAGATGGATAAAGAAAATCAATAAAATAATTGCTTATTGGGGCGCTACAACAGACCGCACAATGTAGGAAAATTAAACACATAATGAGACACAATCTGAATAATGTGCAATATTAGAATCTGAAACTGAAACAGAATCTTTTCCAGCGACTAAGCTGATGTTTTGCAGCGTTAAAACCAGACGACTCTATCTGAAATCAGTTTTTAGCTTTTTGCTGACTGATTTGCAGTAAATACAGATACCAGAGTTTCCTCTCAAAGTGCAACGATAAACTCGCAGTGATTGTAAAACTGGCTGATCAGGCTCCGTCATACTTAAGTCTCACAAAATATTGTTTGAACAAGATTTCCGATTGTGAAAAGCCTCATAAAACAAAGCTAACAAGTGTGCAGAGCCGTCATGTACTGTAAAAATGTCATTTATTGTTTTTATGTGCGGTTTTGAATATGCAATCTTTAGAGGAAGAAGACACACCCAAAGGCAGACAATAAAAAAAAAAAAAAAACACCATAAAAAAGGTTATTTATTGTATGATCGAACCGTTCGTGCGAATCAAATATAGACAGAAAAACGGTTACGATGATTATGAGAAATCAGATGAATAATTTCTGAGGAACCTGTGTATGAGAGACACATGTGTCTGTTTGACTAAACAACCAAGAGACATGATCAGCAGATGTGAATGTGGCTTTTTTTTATAAAGGGGGACAAAAGTGGAAATCATAGCATATCTTTCAGGCTGCTGACTTTACATCCTTATCTGTGTCACAGCATATTTTCTGTCAATTGTAATAAGGGCTATCAGTTATAATGCTTTGACTGCAGTTAGACCAAAACCCAAGTTTAAAGCACTGACTGATTTTCATTTTTGCACTTTTTGCCTTCTGTATCAAGCTGCTGCAGCAACTTACTGTAGCTGACACAATGAAATAATTGTCAGTAAATGCGCCCCCTCTTCTTCAGATTATCGAGGTCTACATGCATTTGCTGACCAACAATTTATGCCCGAGCCATGAAAGAGAGGCTACACAGTTTACTGTAACAAAAAACTTATAATATCTAGTTTTCTTGTTTTCCTTTATATCAGACATGTAATCTTTTTCACGCATCTTGACGCGTTTTGGGGGAACTTTCTGCGCAACTTTCCGCCAAAACATGTCAAGGTACTATGTAGAAAAGATTACATGTCTGAGATAAAGGAAAATTAGAAAACTATTTCTAAGACATAATGAACATAATTCAACTATCCTATAAGAACTTCAGGTTAAATGTGAGAGTTACACTTTAAAATGTCATCTTGTTTCACAAATATAATCCCTTTTAATCAACAAAGCACATAAAACACAATGAAATCAGTGTTATACACTTCTATAATGCAGCTGTAACAAGTTTTTGTCACAGCTGATAGCATAATTTTGCAGATACAACTTTTGTCTAACACCATACTTGTCATACTTTTGAGCATAACCCTCAGAGCTCGCAATGTTTTTTTTATAGCTCAAGCGTACATTTTAAACTCAGTAATTATACTCATTGTAACTCATTTTGACATGGAACATATTTAAAGACTTTTACTCTTTGTTTGCTGCTCCAAAAAAAGTTCACAACTTTTCTCGAAACAGCCCGGCGGTGCCTTTACAAAACAAAGGGAACTGAACCACTGCTGCAGAGAAACTGGCAGAACCAGGAGACTACTCTAAAACTTAAAAAGACACTTTGTCAAGAATAGAAACTCAAAAGGCTTGGAGTCAACCAGTCCAACAGAAACTACTCTCAGTAGGGCCACAGAAAGGGAAAAACAGATCAGGCTTGTGATGCAAAAAGAGGAATTCTTATTAGACAATGTGAGCTAATGAGTCTGCACAGAACCCCCATATGGGCTTTCACTATATAGCTGACTATGTAGTGAACTTAATCACCGGAGGTTTCTGACACTACATGGCAAGACACAATGGTTCATCGAATGGTCACTACATTTTGCAATGCTCTATGGGAAATTTTGAGTCGCCTATATGGGGCATTGGAATTGATCACTCGGGTTTCGGACACCCCTCAAAATGCCGCTAGCCCCCATATAGTCGCCTATATAGGGGTTAGGGATCCATTTCGGACACAGCCTAAGTTTCTTTATGAGACATGGATGAATATTTGCTTGATTTTTACAGTATGGATGATATTCTCCGATCAATAATCATCTGTAGTAAGATGCTGCAGATGTTTTATCAGTCTGCTGGGGAGGAAGCATCAAACACAAAGATGCAAGACGTCCGAACAAACTGGTGAAAAAGGCTGGCCCTATGGTTGGACACAAACTAGACTCAGTGGAGGATGTGGTGGAGAGATCTACACTGAGGAAGGTGGAGTCTATTCTAAAGAACATGGATCACCCACTTCACAACACCTTGATGGATGAAGATCTTTTGTACCAACAGCCACTAGACTTTATAATTCTTGTGTAAATAGTGGATAACTTTTGAGACATATTATGTGAGACAACAGACAATTGAATTTCCCTTTAATAAATTAATTAATAAAGTTATTCTTTTTCTTATCTTTGTCTATGGTGGTCAGAGTATACTGAGGAAGAGCTCTTACAAGTCAAAGAGCAATTGAGGGGAGAGGGAGAAAGAGAGAGAGAGTCAACAGGCAGAGGAGGACTGGTGGTGTTCCTGTGGCCACAGTGTTGTGCTACATTCCTGGCTTCATTTGCACTCTCACAGCTGATGTTGTCTCAAAGTATATTCTGGGTAAAATAGTCATTAACCACCCACCAATGTCATCATCAGTCACTAGTGCAAGCTAGGTCGAGCAAAAAGGAGAGCGAGGAAAAGCCGAATAACAAAAACTGGAGACATATTTTGTCAGTTCAGTACCACAGATTCCGACTTGGTATCTCTGGTACTATATCAGCTCCTCATTGCAAATGGCAATGTTTCCAGAAACAACTACACATTATCCAAATGTACCCTGTGAAAAAAACTGCAGGTGAATCGATACAAAATCTGTAACCAGTGATGACATCAATCACTAAATCACTTTTGTTTCGTAAATAACATGAAAGATCTCGATTTGATTCATTCTTCTGTGGATGTGTTTGAGTGCTTCTGAGTTACTTAGACACAGTTGGCGCAATATGTAATTGTGACCTGATAAATCACAAAACAAGTAGTGTAAGTGTAAATAAACTGCTGCAAACCAAGCTTCAAAGCCTCGCTGGGCTTGTTGAACGCCCCCTCCTCTACGCGTTTAAAAAAAATACCTTCAGCTCAAACTAGCAGTTTGCAGTTTTGGCAGTTAAAGTGTTACAGCTCACGGCTGAAGCATTTAAAAATTTAAAAGCATTCTCAGACTGTAGTAAAAACACCCTGCTTTTTACAACACATACTGTATAATTTTGTGTTGTTTGTCATGTGTAGGTGCTGCTTGAGGTTTTCTATAGTATCAACAGACACATGTGGTCCAGATACAGTAGGATTACTGAGGGGCCCTCTGTGCACAGGAGAGGGGAGGGTGGTCTATCTGCTTCTGTTTGAAGGAGTTCTGAACCTTTCCGGTTGGAAACTAAATAAGTCATCAGACTGAGAACGTTTACAAATATCAATATGACCGCGAGGTGTTCTAGTTCTTCTACCTGATTGACTCACTAACCTTAAAACTTGTAAAATTTCACACACCATCAATCTATCAACAACACCTGCCTCCATTTGAAAGATAGTAATTTAAAGTGGAGTATGGAGTAAAATCTTCAGTCACTGTCGGACTTTTCAGACTCTCTTGAATGAATGGGGACTTCGTTTGATTTGCTGAACAATTAACTAATATTAAAGGCGATCTAATTCTGAATCCTCACCAAGTGGTTTTAAAACACAGCCAAACTGTAAACAATTGAAACTCAACATCGAGCGATCTGTACAGAGGCAGCTGTTACATATGTGCTGGGGGCACCAGTGCACACAAAGCTGTGATTAATAAAGGACTGCCTATAGCAGCATTTTAAAGACCATATAAGCTCCCCAGTTTCCTGTATCCTTTTGGCTTCTGTCATCTCTAAGCAGTTGCACAACAGGTTCTAGCATTCCCAGTATAAGTACAGGGTAGTAAACAAGTTCAAGGGCAAGCTGGTCAGTAGGTAGTTTGGAGGTTGCAAAACTGGACTAGTTTACAAACTTCTGAGACATAGCGAAGGGTTTAAAGATATTTAGTTCTGGGGTCTACACCCCCAGGACATTTTGCTTCTTGTACCTAATTCCTTCAGATAATGTACAAACCTTGCATAATGCTGCGTTCGAGTTACCTCAGAAGTCAGAGGTCCGAGCAGAAAATTGACGTCTTTAAAATAACTTTCGTAGATGTAGCCATCTTGTTTCCGCCTCCGATTTTGCTTTTTTTTACTGATATGGTAACTGAAACATTGGTAACTTGGGTGTGACGTCATTTTCAGCTCGGACTTCTCACTTCCGAGGTAACTCGAACCCAGCATTACATCCAAACATATGTATTGGTTAAGTAATTGAGGCTTTTCTGTTGGTAGAGCCAATCAAGTTAATCAAGTTATCCAATGAACTGGCATCTGAGATTACCCTCAATCATTTGATCCACAGGGAGGGAGTTGGGTACCAAAACATATTAGTCTGAAACTGTGTTTGTAGGAAGCCAAAATGATATAAACACAACAACCACTAGCGAGGCATCCGGGAGGCATTCTGATTAGATGCCCATTAGAGGAGCCCCTACTCTGAGCCCCTCCTAGATGACAAGCTTCTCACCATATCTAATAGGGAGGGCGCTGCCACCCTGAGGGGGAAACTTGCTTGTACCTGCAATCTTGTTCAATTCTCATACAGCTCGTGATTATAGGGGAGGGTATATATCTAGAGCTTTGCCCCTCAGCTCAGCGCCCTCTTTACTGTGACAGATCTGTGATTTGTCCTCATAAGTGCCGACGCCGCATAAATCCACCTGTCGATCTCCCGCTCCATTCTTCCCTCACTTGTGAACAAGACTCCGAGATACCCGGCAGCGTCTTTACAAAAAAAACAAGAAAAAAGCTTTGCTAACGTTTTATGTTTGGTATCTGGAAAAGTGATACATTTATATTCCTTGTTGTTTTTGAAATTATACTGAACATAATGGAACCAATAGAAAAAGAGGCTTTGAAATGAACATCACGCCAACTTCAATGTATTAACAAAACTCAGTCTGAGGAGAACCAGTCAAACCCTTTTTTAATTGCATATGAATGGGGTTTTGTGTAAACCTGTGATCTACTAGAAGATAATAATACCAGTCATAACAACCACCTCTTATTTCCTCATTACTTAAGTTGCTTCATTGCTCTTCATTCAGAAATGTTTACCCTTTGTAACTTCTTGTCGGTCACTGGGAGGCAGACTCGATATTGAGTTTGGCAATGATTAACCTAGAAGATAAACTTGTTGGCTGCTCTGGCCCTCGGTCTACTTTGTTTTCATTGGGCTGTAAACTTGCTGAAATCTTGTTCAAACAGTTGGAAAAAAAAAAAAAAGAAAACAGGACAGGAACCTGATCAGACCAATTCAATATCCCTCATACTCAACTTGTCACGATGCCACTAAGACGGTTTATGACTACATTTATTTACTTTAATTTTACAGCCTTTCGACAGATTTTACACAGGTTTGTTTATGCAGGCGTGAAAGGCTGTTAATACACTAATAAGGCTGCACTAACATGGTTCTGGGTCTACCTGCTGCTGTAAACAGGACCAAAACTTTTCAAGTGAGTATCTTTCAAATGTGTGAGGATTATAGGAGTTTTAAAAAATGTACCTCGCTGACCTTTTATGAGTATTAGAGGACGAGGTTGCTGTGTACCGTCCCTATTGTCTCTATTGTTTCTATTTGTTTTCAGGGAGCCGTGTGTGTCCTGAACAGCCTGCAGTATAAATCCTCAGCGTCTGAGCGTCTACATGTGCGTCAGGAGAATCCGGGTCTGCAGCTGCAGAACATGCATGGGTTTCTACAACGCACTGGCATAACAGTATGTACACAGACATATGTGGGACTTCCACTTTCTTTCCTGCTCCTAACTGAGCAGCATTAAAACGCTGCGTGTATGTTTAAAGTCATTAAGGTTACTAAAAGAGGAATATAAGATTAACCCTCGGTGCTGAGCCAGAAACTGATCCAAACCCTCAAAATAAGATGGAGGAAAAGTAAACTTAATTTATCTGCACCATCCAAGAAATGCAGCTGAAGTGTTTGACTGTAAGGTTAACGGAATAGGAATTAAGTTTTGCAAGAGGACGGAAAGTAAAATCCAGTTAAAAGAAATAAAGAAATGAAAGTTTAAAAAGCCTGTGTTTTTTAAGCCATAGTTTGTCAAAAACACAACTAAAAAGATGTTTTTAAGTGACTTATCTTAAAAAATATAACTCAAAGCAGTCTCTAAATTCTTGACTCTTGTCTTGGGAAAATTGTGTCTCCTTTTTTCTGCTGTTTCTGGAAAATAAATGAGGAAACTATAGCATGGAGTCAGTCACTGTGAAGTTGTATGAGCTTTGTTTAACAAGTGTTCATATCCTCTCCATAAAAGTAACATCTGAATACCACAGTAGATAATCTTGCAATCAGAGAAGTCCAGTTATTGAGTTATAGATAAGGTGGTAGAGTGAGGGCTGGTATAGACTCTATAGCAGGCTTTTTGGTGCCTGAACTCCACAGGAGAGCAAGGGTTATTGAAAGGTGAGGGTCAGCAAAGTCAATCCCCCTGTGAAGTCCAGACACTGGTGACCGATGATGTTGAGACTGGATTTAGGTGGATCACTATCAGCCTTAGTTAGAGCTAGAATGAAAAGAGTGTGATATCATTGATTGATTGGTTTACATTTACACTACTCATGACTTTTTTCTTCAGGTGAATGAACTGGACAAACTCAATGTAATCCATGTGACAGGAACTAAAGGAAAGGTATGAAACAGAACGTACTCATCTGATCTTGACTTTGAAACATCACAAAAACTGTTGAGATAGTGCTCTCTTCTTTTAGGGATCAACGTGTGCTTTTACCGAAAGGGTTCTCAGGGGTTATGGCTTTAAGACAGGATTTTACAGGTAAATTATGAAAGATGAAGAATTATTTTTCTATTTTCTTTCACACATGATCTAAGAATGGAGTACAGCGACCTTTTTTAAACACAACATCACTGTGTTAGACATAATGAAATGCAAAATGACTATAATCTTAATCTTATATTTTAATTAATTTATTTTTTTGATCACATATCAGATCCAAAAGTGCTTAAAAAAGGCTTTTATACAGTGTTGAAATGGTGGTTTACTCATAGATGCAGATATGCCTGTCATTATCTACACAATTTCATGTCGTGCAGATGTTCGCATTAAATTATCCCAACAAACTTCCATGATCTCTTTCAACAGCGTGTGAACAAGTAAGACATTTAAAAAAAAACACAGGCAACAAAACTAAACAGTTTTTATCTCATTCATCGGTCTGTTGTCTGAACTTTACTCCCTATTAATTATTATTTAAACTTCACTGCATTTATGACCAGGCCTCTCCTATAGAGATAGTAAAGGGTTATCTCAGGTGTGTTTGGGGTTAGAAGGGTCAAACATGAAGTCTTTTAACTCCCTCCCTCAGAGGTGCCAAACATCTTTTTAAGAAAACCTGCACTTTTGATATTTCAAATATGAATAAAAATCAATAAAGCCAATCAGCATGGGTATGCTAATGAGTAATGGAGACATTAGTTGTGATGATAGAGGTACTAGATGGCCTTGGGGAAAAAGTTGTTCATGAGTTTGTTAGCTCTTGTTTTAATTGATCTGTACTGCCTGTCTGGGGGCAGGAGTTGGAATAGATGTATCCATGTGGGAGAAGAGTCTATAGGGGCAGCAGTAGCTCAGGAGGTAGAGCGGTCGTCCAATAACTGGAAGGTTGGCGGTTCAATTCCCCCCCTATCCCTAGTCTGTTCATTGTGTCCCATCTCTGTAACCCACCTTGCTCCCAGTGTGTGTCCTCCACTAGTGTATGATTGTGATTGTTGTGTGGTTGGGGTCAGAGAAGCAATAGGTGCAAATTGACAGCCACATTTCTTTCACCAAGGTGTGACTATGTGAGTAAATGAATGATGTTTCCAATGTAAAGCGCTTTGAGGGTCTCTGATAAAGACAGTATGACAGTATGTCTACTGCTCTAGTAAGTGTGATAGAGGGTGTTTGCAATGACCTGAAGTGAGTGTAGTGGGCAGCCACTGATTTTCTGCGCCTTGTTGATGACCCTCTGTAAAGCTTTCTTGTCTGCTGCCGTTAACGATAAGAACCAAGTGGTCAGGGACGGGTACAACCCCAGACCAGACAAACTCCTAATCGTTATCATATCTAGGTTGTCAAACTGAAATGGAAAGTCTTCTTCCACAAATAAGCCATTTTTGGACATTACGAGGTGGAATTGTTGTTCTGATCACTAGAAAGCTTGAGCTTGACATCACTTCAAAAATTGCCGTTCAACTTTAAGCATATGGTAAAAATTTGACTCTAATTATTTTTGCAGTGAGGTTTTATTTGCATGGAAAGTTCCAGTTAATTAGCAGGTTTGGTTCTGATATATTTAACCATTTGTGCATACTGTGTAAACAGAACTATGTCTTTTTCTCAAATTTTCTCAGCACTCCAAAAACTGCATAATCCTTTTATGGTTTGGGTTGTGTATTTTTTTTCTTTTTAGTTTTCTAATGCATGTTGAACTGTATATTTTTCATGTTCATGGTATACAGTATATAAGTATAGTCCATTTTTGAATGAATTGAATATTCAAGCAGAGTAACTGTGCACTGGGGAATGGTTACTGTAACAGGAACATTTCATTATCAGTTAAAACAACCTCAGTCTGTCTTTCTGCATTCAGCTCTCCACACCTGGTTCATGTCAGAGAGCGAATCCGGCTCAATGGTCGGCCAATCAGTGAGCAGCTTTTCTGCAAGTATTTCTGGGAGACTTATGAGCAGTTAGAGGACACAAAGGTGAGCTCTGTTCTGCACGTGTACAAGTGAGGGTTTGAAACTGATCTTTGAAATCTCTGAAGTATACTCACAAAATAAAATGACTTGTATGTATCTTTAGGACAACCGTGGCGGCTCTATGCCCTTCTACTTCCAGCTCCTCACCCTGATGGCCTTCCATGTCTTCCTGCAGGAGCGGGTGAGCTGTAAACACACACTGACACACACATACACACAAACACAAATATATTTAACTGTGTCTTTCATGCTTTTGTTATAAATCGCATTACTTTTGAGGCAGGTGGATGTAGCTGTGATTGAAGTCGGCATTGGGGGGCAGTATGACTGCACAAACATCATCAGGTAATGTTTCATGTTCAATTAATTGTGTTTTAAAAAGTGATTCATTTTCTTGTTTTGAAAGACAATATAAAACGGTTTTTGCTATGTGTGGTCATCAGGAAGCCGTGGGTGTGTGGGATCACATCCCTTGAGCTCGATCACTGCAGTCTGCTTGGGGACACTCTAGAGAAGATCGCATGGCAGAAAGCTGGGATATTCAAGGTTTAACAGAGCAAATTTTAATGTAATCAGGTTATCTTATTACAGTGAACATCTGTTTGCTAGAATGTAGTACAACAGGAAGAAAGGGGATCATTGTCGTAAACTAGCAAAATAAAAATTTACGGGGGTCGATGGGTCAATGTGGCTGTAAGGAAATATATTAAATCGCAGGAACTGTGAACATGAATTGTATACTTGTTTTTTTCTGTTCTGCATCATGATCTCTGTCACTGTCCTCAGCCAGGTGTTCCAGCCTTCACTGTCAGACAGAAAGCCGGCCCTCTGAGAGTCCTGCTGCACAGAGCTGAAGACATCAGGGTGAGGAAACTGAAGCCTCTTCAGCACAGTGTTTACAATATGCTGGAAAGCCACATCTATGAGGGCTTAAAAGTTCATTTCAAGTATACAAGAGGAAAAAAAAGATAAAAATCGTAAAAATCCTGAATTGCATGACTGGGTCAGATCAATTAAACCATCATGATCTTCAGATTTGGAAAAAAAAAACAGCTGGAGGCTGATTGAATAACTGGTTCTTTGTGTGATTATTACAGCGAAAAATAATTAAATCCTGACTGCGATGAGTAGTTTTGGTTTCAGAATAACACTAAACAAAAACCATTCCTATTATTTTTCCATTGCGTGGTCTTTAATTTGGTACGAATATGTTTTGTGAAACCCAACTATTAACCATACAATGACTCTTATGCCTCATTACTTTGTTGTGGTTTGGCTCAACATCTTGTTTTAAGAAACTTAGCATCTTTGCTTACCACACTACCCCCGATTTTAAGTCATTACAATAACTTAAGTTCTTATTTTACCCCGTAATAGCAATCCTTTCAGCACAGCTAGACACGACTAGAGGGCCTGAGTATTCATACTAATAAAAATGTGCTGCAAACGTTTATTCAGTTACTTGGACAGGTGCACAGTCAAATTCCCTTCACACAAACTGGTAGCTTACTTCTACTCAAGTATAATTTCATCAAAGTAACTTTACTTCAATACTATATTTAAGTAGTCTTTCTACCCCTGGTTCATACTTCATTTGTCCTCTACAGTGTCCTCTGTGGGTCTGTCCTGAGCTGGATCAGTATGAAACTCTGGTCGGCCCCGTGCATCTTGGACTAACAGGAGAACATCAGCGCTCAAATGCCTCTCTTGCCCTGCAGCTCAGCAACAGCTGGCTGCAACGCCACAGGGCCAGGGAGACAGGAGGTGAAAGTTACTATTGAATAATAATAATAATAATAATAACATCTTTTTGTCATTTTCAGACTTGTCTTTTTGTTCCTACAGTTTATTCTCTTCTTGCAGATGACCTTAGTTTAGCCCTGCCCTCCTGCAGACCAGGATCACAAGCGGCAATTTTCCAGCCAAGCTCAGCCATGCTGGAAGGCAAGTTGTAAAAGAAAAATGATCATCTTAACTGGGTAAAAAAAAAACAGACCTTACTGTTTTCTTATTTGGGAAAATCAAGAATGAAAGATGCCCCCAAATAATTTTATAAAACTAGGATTAAGGTGATATTAAATGTGATTATTTCACATTTTTACCTTTCATAGAATCCAAAGTCTGAGCAAAGATTTCCTAGACGATTGGGTGACTTGTCTTCTCCTGTCCTGTCTTTTGTTTCCCTACAGGTCTGCAGGAGACAGACTGGTTGGGACGGAACCAGAAGTTGAGTTGCGGTTCTGTCACCTACTACCTGGATGGAGCTCACACCACAGACAGCATGCAGGCCTGTGTCAGCTGGTTCAGACAGGAAACGATGCACAGAGATAAGACTCAGTATGTCACATGACAACAATATCACCAATAATGGATGTTGTTGTTTTGTACTTGAAATTAGCTCATGTATGATTGTCAGATTTTAAGAAAAGTCTTTAAAATCAGCAGATCAGTCTTTGAACCTGAGAAGTTCTTACCAAATAACCTTTTTTGTTTTCATTTTTCATAACTTTGGTAACTCTGAAATCATCACTGAGATTTCTCTGTCTTGCAGAGGTCCTGGTGTCAGGATCCTACTTTTCAACACAACAGGGGAGAGAGACTCTGCTGCTTTACTCAGACTCCTGCTGGTGAGTGACGGACAAACTGTAGTATTTCATGTTATGCAAATTTGTGTAAGCCTTGTGTGAAACTCTGCTTTTGTTTGACTTTCAGCCCTGTCAGTTTGACTACGCACTGTTCTGCCCAAACAACACTGACTCACCTGCAAACAGCTCAGGTAACAGAAAAACAAAGTGATTGAATTACATTATAGATTTGTACTCATCCCAACTGACGTTTCTGGTATCATCACTGAAATCAAGCTGTACAACAGGATTTAGTCTTTCTTATCAGATTGGTCATTTTGATACAGGATTGTTTTAAAGATCTTGTTTCATTTTTTAGCTCTTATGTTCTATTTGTTGTTCTCATTTGGTGTTCTTCTATTATTCTTCTCTTTGAGCTACTCACAACTTATTTACCTTGTAGTGGAGTTAAAAAAGTATTAGCAATGCTAAGCACACATGTGCAGTCAGGTTAATTTTGCCCTGACAGAGTGTCACAATTGCAATAAGTGTTTACGTGGATGTGGTTCTGAACAACAATCGGCATAAAACACTTCTACCAATCCAAATACAATTTCTTTCCGATTAAGAGGGTGCAGGTTGGCCTTGAAGTTAAAGCGTGTGCCTTGTACAGAGGCTACAGTCCTCACTTCTAGTTTAGTTCCTGGTCCCAGCCCATACTGCGCATCTTCCCCTACTCTCTATTCCAAACAGGTCCTGTCTCTCTTCAGCTGTCCAATCCATGAAGCTTAAAAATGCCTCACAGAATTTAACTTAATAATGATTTTTTAAGTCACTGTAGGCTAAACAAATCTACTCTGTGAACCTATATGATTTTTATTAAAAATGCTAGACACCGATATACAGTATTATTGTCGCTTTCGTCAACATTAAGTATAACGCTATAACATGAAGAGTTATACCCTAGCCTGAAGCAATTTTGACATCTTTAGACAAATTAGTTTCAGTCCACCCTGAAGTTGTTTTCGTTCACCAATGTGAAATCCTCAAGAAACATAGATTTTCAAGGTAAGACTTAGTTGAGTACCACAAAATGTGGATTTTTAGATACTCTGTGCAGTCTCTATGCAGCTGTGCAGCTCTTTTGACATCCTGCTAGCTCCCCATTTGATAGGTTAGCATAGCCTGATAACTGATAGGTCTACCACCTAAAACAGTCACCTGCTTCTTAGAGCACTGTCCTTTGGGTAAAACAACATTACATAAGAAGATAAATCTGTCTGCCTTTTATGCTGGTTTATAAATGTGTAGCTATTTTTACAGTGACTGTCTTGGTTTTGACCCCAGCTCTGTTAACTATGAAACATGGAGTCATTTTAAAAACTATTGAGAGCTAATACTCTCCGATATTGTTACTCCTGTTTGCAGAGTGTAGGAATTAGATCAATAAAATGCAAGTTTACTTTAGATCTTTTCTGCTAATAACTGGAATTATGAACAGAGGGGAGGTGAAGTCCTGGTCATATTTCAATATGATGTGGTGTTGGTCAAGAAAACTTTGATAGGATCAGAAATTGATCCGATGGACGAGAGCTGTCTTAGACAAAAGAGAAGACCTCTAAGTAAAAAATACCATCTCTGAAAGTAAATGCCATTTAAAGAGGATAGAGAAAACGTAAGCTTAAAAATTCACTTAAAATGTCTTGTAAACAGTTGTCAAGAATTAATTATTTTTCTAAATTATTGATAATGTATCACGTCTTTCCGTTGCAGCAGCTCCCCACAGCAGCAGTGAGTGCGCAGCCACATCTCGCTGCAGAGAAAACCTGAGAATCTGGCAGAGCCTGAACACAACATTTAATCAACAACATTACCATCTGGTGGCGAGTTCTGTGAGTGGCAGCCTGGTGTTTCCCTGCATTCTCAGCGCCCTCCGGTGGATCAGACAGAGAAAGCATCCACAGTCTGTCACTCCACAGTCTTCTGAGTCCCCCCACAGGCTAAGAGAGGGGGGTCAGGTCTCTGTGCTCGTGACTGGCAGTCTGTACTTAGTCGGAGGAGTGCTTAGACATCTGGAACCTTCTGTGGATTCATAAAGGATCAGAGACTTCCTTGTTTTGAACTTTGATTTAATACTTTTAAAGTTTTTTTTCTCTCTCCTTTCTGTTCATCTCACATTTCTCTAAAACACCCTTGTTTTTGTTTTTTTACATTTATGAAATAGACTGAAATTCATACAGATGCTGTGATTTTTTATACAATAATTTTAAATGCTTGCCTGTTTTTACATTGACAATAAATCATACATTTGACTGTCCAAAGTTTGTATGAGACTCTTCATCGAAAAGCACTACTTAGAGGACAATATGAGTGAAAGTGAAAAAATGGACACAAACCATATAGTTTACATATAGAAAATACCTCACAGTAGCTCTGATGGCATTAGCGATAAAGTTAAAGTGCATAGTTACTCATTTATCCCCTTTTGGTTTATAATATAATCAAAAGTTTTCCTCACTAAAAAAGTTTGTGATTAAATTTCACAATTATGGGTACTATCATAAGTCTCACTTTCAATGAAGAGACTGAAGGAGAAAATAGTTCAACAACTGTACCTCAGCAAAACTGCAAAAATTTTGAGGAATTCATCATCAAAAGTACAAAATATCATGAGACAGAATATTGCAGGTTAATGTAGAATCCACGGCACACAAGCGTGCAGTACTCACAACAAAGTAGACCACTACAGCTTAGCAGAGGTCATAGACTGTATATAGAATGGACGCCGTCTGCCTCCTCGCTGGGTGAAGCCACTCCGAGAACAGCGCCCTCTGGTGACCGCCTGCAGTAGCCTATAGGTCATAAATTCAGCCTCCTCCAGCAATCCTTATGGGGCTGTGGACAAACTTTAGAAATTCATTACACAGAACATAAATTCATTCAATTCAGAATCAAGTTGTCCATAGTATATACAGTCCATGGTAGAGGTGAGGTGAGATGTGCTGGACTTGTACACACGGTTTTATATGTGAGGTGTGGGATCAGGTCTTCTCTGGCGCTTTTTCTGCTGAGAATTGATCCCTGCTGTCATCGAGGCTTTGACCAATCAGAGTCAAGTCTTTGATGCACCAAAGTAGTAAATCATCTTAAAGACACACATGGATGCGCTGGCGAGGCTATCAACTTGATTTGTTTTGATTCTGAAGGCCTTGTATTTTCACTAACCCTATTTATTTCTTTCCTATTGGTGTCGTTCATCTCAACTGTGTTATTATAATTGCAGACATCCACTCCGACCAAAGTCTTTGTCTTGTATGATATCTGTACTTTTAATCAAGAACGACTCTCTGGAACGTACCCTCTTCATACGGCAGATAAAGCCCATATGCACCCACTGGCAGTGCGTTATAATACAGTAAAATGCAGAACCACAGTAATAAAAACATGTCTGTCTGGTCTGTCCTCCCCTGCTGTGAATTCTTCTTAGCAGACACAATCTCCAAAGCAAGCTGGAATGCAATGTTTTACTGTCTTATTTACCCTCCAAATATCACTGGAGGAAGTTTGCTTTGGTCCTTTTCAGCTTTGTTCAAAGCCCTTTCATTACTGCAGCATCTGAGTCGGCATACCTCAGACCAGGTTTGGGTGATGAAGGGTTAATGTAGGGGGATGTTTTGGAAGGTCTCAGGGGGCCCATGGGGAGCCACTGTTTGGAGCCGCTGTCTCTCCGGCTTATTAGCCTCTCATCAAGATTAGAGCAGACAAGAGGCCAGAGGACAGGACGACAGATTGAGGCCTGACAATCTCTTCATGCCATGCATAGAAAATATCATTAGAGACGAGGTCAGATGGTTTTCTGAACCGCACACGCACCGCACATACGTTGAATTTTCTGTCTTTTAAGATTTTGGGGTAAAAGGGTAGCTTTCATTTGACAGTCTGAAAACAAAAACCCTAAAACTGACGGAGACCCCAGTTGGCTCGTAAATCACTTTGTTGTCCTAATCAGGTATTAGAGACAGCCAGAGTAATTAGTCAAGTTACAGCAGAGATTTGTTTGGCCAGGCTCCATCAGGCAACAATAGCGACAAACCTCAGGGATTTGGTCATGTATTTGCTGCCGCTGCTCTCTAAGACGCTTCAACAGATGAGAAACCTCTTTACTGCAGCAGGTGAACTGTGATTTAATGTTATCAAAACCTTTAAATTTCAGCCTGTTGCAGTAAAACTAATTTATTTAACCAGTAGATAAAAAAGTGTTAGCTGGTACCTTATTGTTAGACCATTTCTATGCAACATACTGCGACAGCCCAAATGTTTTTCCAACTGGAGAAATAGACAGCAAATTAAAAAACACGTATAAAAATCCAAACTGATGCAGCAAAGGAAACACACTTTGAATGAAAGAAAGGAGAAACACATATGGACAGAGACTATAACAGAGTGTTTACAGTAGTGATGGGAAGAAGAGTTCTTTTGACTGAACTGAATCGTTAGAATCTGTTCATTAAAATGATTCGTTCAAAAGATTTGTTCTCCCGACCGGCACGCCACACTCGCAGCTGGTCTCAACTGAACTGAGGAAGGAACGAATCAGGTCTTGGAGTGATTCCACTCAAGTTATTCACTCAGCAGTTACATTCTTTAGAACGGATCATTAATGAACGACACAACACTAGTTTAACCTTCCTCCTGTGTTAGCTTTTACTACGCACCAACTATGTTCAGGGTCGGTTTTGACCCTACCTTGTTAGGCTTCATTATCCATGAAAATATTGTTGATAATAGTTTTTGTTGTGGTCCTCTGGGCCTTTCTTTGTCAGGATACTCCTCATACAGACATCTATACTGAACTGATCTCACATGTCTGGACATGCCTGAGGCTGTTTTTTGTGCAGGGACAAACATGGAAAAATGAGATTTTCCTAAATCTCACATGATTGGAAGAGGATCTGACTGTGAATGTGCCTGACAGTGAACTTATGATTTCAGTTTTTGCTCTAATTATTAGACATTGATCTAACCGGGTCAACAGCAACCCCAACGCAACAAGTGCCATAATTTTGATAAGAGCATTTTATAAATTAGTCAATGTTTTATTTTTATTTTGTTGAAATAGAGGTTCCTGATAAAGTCAAAAAGTTTTGATGCAAAAAAACTTATTTATGTGGCTCTTTTAAGCATTTAAAATCAAAAACAGGTCGGTGCAGACCTTTAAACTGGAGGAAGGTTAAAGCATGCAGCAGCTCTCACAGCGGCTGCAGGTTCAGTTTCTTTGCTGCAACTTATTCCCCACACCTTTTCTCACATTTTGTGTCACTCTTCGAATTAAGACAAAGATATTAGTGTTGATAAGATATAAGTGTGTTGATAAATGGACTGTATATTAAGTACCCTAGTATGAATTGTCCTTATGCATCACTGAGCGCTGTGCATATATTTTTACTATGAACAATGACATCACAAAACTAGACCAGCAGGGGAAGATATCAGGTCACTAATGGTGCATTTTCACTAAGAGGTATAGTTTGGAGAACTTGCAACTAGAGATTGAGATTGTAAACTTGAATATTTTTACAGAGTCAAGAATCAACCTAAATGTAGGCCCATTTTTTCATTTTCTCATCTCTTTTTATATATACTTTTATTAATTTGGTTTTTATTCTACTAACTCCAGAAAGTGCACTATTACTCATCATGCTGCTATTTCACCCTTAGTTTTCATTTTTTATATTAAATTAAAACACCCTCATGCTGTGATATGGAAGCCAAACAATGACATTTTATTGCAGAGATAAATCACTGTTGTGTTTTATTCTTTGCAATGACAATAAAGAAAGTCTAAGTCTATAATTCACCTGAAGAATTTGTTGAAATCTTTAAAAAATTTTTGCAAAAATCTGAACTCAACCTGAAGTAAATATGAAGACTTACTGATATGCTACATACCTGTACTAAAGACAAAGCAGATTTGTCAAATGTGACACACACATTTAACACAATATGTGAAAAATCCCGAGTGTGGAAATACACATCAGAGGTACATTTTGTGCTTTTACTCATGACATAACTGATCTGTGTAACTCCCTTTTTTCTTCCTAAATTTTCAGCTGGTTGGGGATGTGACAGATTTTCCCACATACATCTTGACAAACTCTTACATTTGGATAAATACAGAGCAGAGCTGGGACATGTGAACACGAATGTGAGTGATGGTGGTTTGGCTGTTAAATGCAGATTAAAAACCTCTCCATCTGAGTTCCAGCAGCATTCTTTGTCGGCAGAGTTTTAAAGAAAAAAAAAAGGGAGTGAGGGGGTGAAGTTAAGGGTCACAAGGCAATTGGGGCTCTTTTGAGATTCCATTGTTGTGGAGGGCCAGACAGGACTGGATGGTAAGATGTGCAGGGGAAGGTGGGGGAGCTTGAGGGTGAGCTAGAGTACCCACAACAAATCTCCTGTCTGAAACTTTATAAGGAACCCCATAAATTACAAACAAGCAGTCCTCCCTTTCTCAGAGGAAGGTGGGAAACACTTGATGGGACTTTATTTGGAAGTAAACACAGAATAAGACTCCTCGCACTCTTGCACACTAGTCCAGAACATTCCTCTCAACCACTAACCTTCATTCCAGGAGCTGTAGTCTCAAACATGTCTGACATTGTAAAAATAACGCTGGTTCAAATATCAGAAGGTGTGACTTTTTTGGATCTGTTGTGATCTGAGTGTTAATAGATTCACCTCAGTGGGCAATGATGGGCCGTTATAAACCTCTATTACCATTCAATAGAAACATTAGCATTCACTGGCAATTAGCTAACAGCTGCAGCTTTTCTGACTGCCGTAAAAAATACCACCAACAGTGTTTCCCCTTTTACTACTGATGAGATCTGAACAGACAAGAGACACAGGAGCCACTTCATTGTTTGTGTCACAGGTTACACAATATTACACATACTTTGATTCAAAAGTACCTATTATTTATCTTGAGATAACAACAATGGAGTCATTTTTTTATATATACCGAACACCAGGCAGGAGGCTCAACGTACCAGCCTGTAAAACCAAGCGGTACAAAATAGTTTTATTTCATTAGCCACTGGGCACATTAACACGGGAAGAAACCTTGAGAGCTGTTGGTTTTTATTTGGTTTTACTGAGTTTAATTTGTTCTTATTTCATATAAAATAAAATCTTATAAAATAATCTTTGACCTTTGAACATTAATAACATTTTTTTAACCATATTAACCCTCTTCTTACATCAACACACTATAAATGTTTAAGGAAACAAAAACAGCAATTTCTAGTGTCTTGAAAGTAAA